TTTATGCCTTACTATACTATGACATTTTCGTGACTTTTTATGCCTTACTATACTATGACATTTTCGTGACTTTTTATGCCTTACTATACTATGACATTTTCGTGACTTTTTATGCCTTACTATACTATGACATTTTCGTGACTTTTTATGCCTTACTATACTATGACATTTTCGTGACTTTTTATGCCTTACTATACTATGACATTTTCGTGACTTTTTATGCCTTACTATACTATGACATTTTCGTGACTTTTTATGCCTTACTATACTATGACATTTTCGTGACTTTTTATGCCTTACTATACTATGACATTTTCGTGACTTTTTATGCCTTACTATACTATGACATTTTCGTGACTTTTTATGCCTTACTATACTATGACATTTTCGTGACTTTTTATGCCTTACTATACTATGACATTTTCGTGACTTTTTATGCCTTACTATACTATGACATTTTCGTGACTTTTTATGCCTTACTATACTATGACATTTTCGTGACTTTTTATGCCTTACTATACTATGACATTTTCGTGACTTTTTATGCCTTACTATACTATGACATTTTCGTGACTTTTTATGCCTTACTATACTATGACATTTTCGTGACTTTTTATGCCTTACTATACTATGACATTTTCGTGACTTTTTATGCCTTACTATACTATGACATTTTCGTGACTTTTTATGCCTTACTATACTATGACTTTTTATGCCTTACTATCCATACCTTTTAATGCCTTACTATTGTAAGCCTTTTTACGCCTTACTATTCTGACTTTTTTTTGCCTTACCATACTATGACTTTTAATGACTTTTTATGCCTTACTATTCTATGACTTTTTATGACTTTTTATGCCTTACTATCCATACCTTTTAATGCCTTACTATTGTAAGACTTTTTACGCCTTACTATTCTGACTTTTTTTTGCCTTACCATACTATGACTTTTTATGACTTTTTATGCCTTACTATCCATAACTTTTTATGCCTTACTATTCTATGACTTTTTCATGACATACTTTACTATGACTTTTTCATGACTTTTTATGCCTTACTATACTACTACTTTTTATGCCTTACTATACTATGACTTTTTCACGCTTACTATACTATGACTTTTTATGCCTTACTATAATATGACTTTTTATGCCTTACTATGAATTTTTCATGACTTACTATACTATGCCTTTTCATGACTTTTTATGCCTTACTCTACTATTACTTTTTATGCCTTTCTATTCTATGACTTTTTCATAAATTATTATACTATGACTTTTTTATTACTTTTTATGCCTTACTATACTATGACTTTTTATGCCTTACTATTCTATGACTTTTTTATTACTTTTTATGCCTTGCTATGCTAATACTTTTTATGCCTCACTATAGTATGACTTTAATTTATTACTCTTTATTCATTACTTTACTATGACATCTTTATTACTTGTCATGCCTTACTATACTGTAACTTTTTTTTAACCTCTATGCCTTTCTTTATAAAGCATAGAAGGCATACAACTTTTTCATGACATTTTCGTACCTTAGTATAGTATTACATTTTTATGACATACTATACTGTGATATTTTTATTTATTACCATACCATGACACTTTTAAAAAGCCAATCTATTTGTTTTGAAGGGGTGGCAGGGTTGTTGCGTCCCGACCAAGGTTTAGAAGAAACTTACGCCCCTTTACAAAAGTCACAAAGCATTGGACAACAATTGCGTCACAGCCAGGTTAATCACTTTTTAATGTTCCCTGGAAACACTTGTGTGTTTAGCTCCTAGGGCCACTGTACATTTTAACTGCTTAACCTCAGCATGTCAACAATGTCACTGTGAGCCTATTAGCATATTAGCATGGTGACATTAGCATATATCATGGCTGTGTTCAGATCGTTTATTTTACATTTACATTTTACACAACATTGTAATTTATTTATCTTTGCTACAACTTTTTGTTCATGTTGTTTTTGTTTTTTTTCTGTGATACTGTGATGCACATGTCTTTGCCCAACCACAATGTTGTAATATTGAAAAAAAATTATACAGATAATCTCATAATCACAAATATGTAATGTAAATGTAATTCTCATAAATGTACAACATCTTTTAAAAACTATCTCCCAAATGTAATTACATAATATAATTAGCCTACATTATCCTGATTATCTGTACCCAGTAGTTGCACAGGTCTGTGTACATGTTGATGAGCTGTCACACACCTGTGACTGCTGCTGTTTGAGCCGCTCTGTCTAACAAACAGGCTGCCGGGCCATAAGGTAACTCCAAAGGCAGTGCTCCCTGTCACCCATTAGGAAGACAGTTCCCATGACGACCTAGCTGAACAGCTCACTTATGACCTTTTGTATGGTTGTAATTACATTAAATTACACTGCATCTTATCATCGTGTGCTTTCATGAGTCATTTCCCATGTAACTGCCGCTGAGGCACGAACATCATCCAGCAGGTCTGCTGTGAGGAGCCGCATCCAAACACACTTTCACAGCTTGTTCATGCTCCGACAGCGTGGAGGACGACGTTAAACAACCTCATTCAGGATCAAATAGTTTTAACATGTAATTTAAGTAGATTTACTGTGTGTGTAAGTTTGCTGTTTTCAACTTTAATTCTGCATGAACTGAACCTGGTCTCACAAGTCTCAAAGGCCTGATGGATCCTCCTTCAACCCGGAAGGAAGAGGATTTGGATTTGGACTTCTGGGTGGGGGGGGTATTGTGTGAACAGAGTCATGCACATTTCTTTGGACAGCCTGCATCCTTTTATTTTCACGCATCTTTCTCCTCTACCCACACATGTTCTCTCTCCAGCTCCTCTCTTCCTTCGGCCTTTATGTGATCATGTTGCTTGGTAACAGCACAAGAATGATGAGAAGAGTGGGATGTGTTCGGGTGCTTCCTGTGTGATGTGATGTGTCTTCACATCAGCTGTAAAGAAATACGGTCCAGTGCTGCCAAAATAACAGCAGGATGAAACTTAGTGTGAAGTATCTCCCTTTAGATTTCAGATGTGAAGATGCAGGAGAAAATGAATCCTCGTGTCACTGGGGAGCGGAAAATTATGTTTTTGTTAAAAATAAAGGTGATAAGGGCAAAATGTGGGCGGTAAGAACATTTGAGGTGCCCCGAGCAAGGCACTAATATCTAAGCAGCAAACAGACAATCTTTGCATCTTTGCTGATATGAATGAACATAACAGTATAATGTGAATCTTATCGATGCAGAAAAAGAGCTAAAATCCTGCTTGAAAAATGTTTAAAAAAAAATAATAATAATGATAATGATAAAATAAAACAAGAGTTAGAAATATTAAAAAATATCTGAGCAGAAAAATGTGACAGCGGGATCATTAATTTTAGGGGCATATTATTACATGAGAGGACTTGCCTCTGTGGATGCCACATTGCATTTGAGGTGGAGTAGGAGTAAAAGTTCAATCTCACCACTACGGATATATTTCACCATATCTGTTATGAAGTCATTGTTGCAAAGACTGCCAATACGCTGCGTCTAATCTCTCCATAAATCAAAGTTTGAGATGTAAAATTGCTTCAGGAGAGTCAGGGCTAAGAGTGGATGTGGGGCAGGATATTAAATCATCTTTTATCTGGGAAACTGCTGTGATTAATTATAAAGGATATGGAGGCTGAGTGATTAAATAGATCAATTTAAGTTCATATATAGAATATCTCCCTCATCTGTCTCCAAGCAGCTGCAACATTTGGGGAAAATAGAGGTCTATATAGTACAGATGCATTTATGAACTGTGCAAATTATACATGTGTATCACTTACTGAGCAAAGCAAGTATTCTCAATCAACTGAAAAGCCTCTTTAGCATTTCCCATGAGGCTGTTTGCTTGTGAAGAAAGAAAAACACTGACATGATGGAAAAACAGCCTCTTTAGCTCATTTTCAGCAAACTGCACAGATTTCCTCTCTGCATGGTTTTATTCCTACTCATATCTGACTCATTTACAACATCTTTAGAATAAAAGGTCACGGCATAGTTGCTAATGACAACCTGCAAGACTGCTGCTCTGCTGCAATCGTGTGTGTGTGTGTTTCTGTAAAGCCCAGTGGCTGCCTCATTTGTAGGGATCAGTCGCCCCCTGCTGTTTCTCACATTCTTCCACTTCCACTGAATATATGTAGTTGCCATGCCAACTGAGGGAGGGGGGCATTTGTGGAGTCAGGAAGTAAATTTAGCATCCACCTGTGATCATGAACATCAAAGCAGGCAGTTAGATCCATGTAACTGTAGTTGTTAGCTTTGTCAGATTAAACAGGTTAGGATGATTGTGAACTAAGCAGAGATGATGTCACTAATTATATTAATTACAATAATTGCAGTTTTATGTGCATCAAATTACAATTAAAGTTGAGACTCATAATCACGTGTGGCCACTTGGTGGCAGCAGAAACAAGCTCAACACACAACATAAGTTTACAGGTTTATATTAGTGAACTTGCTAGCAAGCTAGCTGCCTATTTGTTACACATTTAGCAGATTAATTTAGCAAAGAATATTAACTCTCCTTTAGCTCTTTTTTGGTCTCTACCAACTCCAGAGGAAGATAAATATGGCTCTTTAGCATTAGCTGCTACATGCTACACCAAGTTCCTGAGCTAAGCTAGTTGCTAACTTTTATTCTCTGTTGGTTTGTTGACACCAGCGAACTCTTTCACACTCAAGTAGTCATCCATTGTTAATATAAAAATATTGATTATAGTCGTGTTAAATGTATTTTAACTGAAACAATACTTTCAATTTGCAATGATTACTTGTCAATTAATTGATTGACCGGCCATTGACAAAATATTAGCCAATATTTTTAGTCTCCTTTGGCTCTTAACAGGCATTTTCCCCAAATTTTCACATTTTATAATCAATAACAACAATATGCTGACAATGAGTTGTAAGAGTCACAGTTGTTTTTCCATTAGTGTTTTATTCATACAGTGAGGGTGCTCATACATAATATTTACTTTTTCTATAAAATATATTACCTTTCAGTTCCTGAAAGCAAAACTAGATATAAATCATCAAGTTTCATTTGATAAGAAGCAACTCATTTTCAAGTGTCAAACCAAGGCAATCAACTGTTATCAGCATTCAAGGATCCACTGCAGGTTTATGAAATCACATTCTAACAAAGACATTCTTCTCTCCTCTGTCTAGCAAAGCCACAATGCTCAAGTGCTCAGACCATCGTCCACCGACACAAAAGACAATGATCATTTGGGTTTTCTAAAGTAGCAAATACTGTTAAAATACTGTAGCCACAAAAAATAGTTGAGCGAGTTTTCACGTGAGAGGAAAGCAAAGACAAACACGGTCGGGGTGAAGCTGACGAGGGAGGGAAGTGACATTAAGGAGAGTGAGTGTTTCAACAGAAACGTGTGACTGATGCTTTATGTCTGTCTTGTTGCGCTGTCAGACTTTTTCCCTCAGATGTTTTCCGTTGTCTCCTTGCCGGATTAAATGCTCCACGGTTGTCATGACAACACTTCGGCCGGACAGCGGGGGAAGGCGAATTTCCAGGGCATCACAACAGCTCGCTGTGACCAGGTGCTGAGTTGATGCTGTCTGTGAAGTCAGAGCACGACCGTTACAAAACAAATAAATATAAACAAATATAAATAAATATAAACAAATAATCACTACAGATGATCAATATTAATACATCATCTGTAAAGAGAGTTATTAATGGCATGTAGTTTTATACAATAAAGTAAAACTAAACACTTCACTTATTTGCACATACATGCACACTACCATGAATATACATGTATATTTTTTCATAAACACATACATACATACATAGCACATACCTAAGCACACACATATACTCATACACATACACACCTATTGTCACGTTATGCAGCCAAGTGTGTAGATACATAATAACTATATGCATATATATATATATACATACATATACACACATATATATACATATATGTATATATATGTATGTATATATATACATACATATATATATATATGTATATATATATATATATATATACATATATATACACACATATATATATATATACATATGTGTGTGTATATATATATACACACACACACATACATATATATATATATACATACATATATATATATATATATTTATATGTGTGTGTGTGTGTGTGTGTGTGTGTATTATTATTACTGTATTTCTATTTTAGATAGCAGTTTCATAATTATATTCCACAACAGTAACACATAGTGTCTGTTTACCACATGACTCACACTCTGTATCATCTGCTGCACACACACGCACACGCACACACACAAACATAAATAAAAACAGAGAGACATGTACCAGACAAGTCCAGTGACTTATTTCTGTTTTGGGGTAGTCTAGGTTTTTTCACAGGGGGTTTGCGGTTTGGGGGCTTCTCAACGTTATTAGGACTTTCCCTGTCAGTGCCTGAGTTCAGTGAGGACAGGAGACACAAATGAACAGTTAGATACAGACGCTTTACACACAGATCAACATATATACAGGAAGTGACTTTGTAGTGTTAGGTTCATGGTAACTGCACACAGGTGAAACTGTACCTGCGTCACAAGACATGGCCTTTCTGTTCCTCTGTGGTTTCACTGGTGCCTGAGGTCTCAGTCCTTCTTCACCTGAACAACATGAATGGAAGCAAACTGAGGAACAGGTGTGATGGTCACAGTGTTTGTGATGCTCAGTGTTAACATCGTGTGTATAAAGAGTATATCTATTGTTTATATAGAGGACAATATGGCCTGTTGTGTGTGTGCTGAACATTACAGCCGGCTTCATGTGGGTCCATCTGATGTTTTATTGTGCTTTACAGGATGATTGAAGGGCTACACGTTTGAGGAAAAGGTCCTTCCTGTATGACGAGTTGCTCTGGTCAGGTGATTATAACGGAGTTAATCTGTGTTTTAGGAAGAGACTCCATCTCAAGTCTGTACTATAAACATGAGTTCTCCCCTCTAAAGTTCACTATTTAACACGTTGCATCTTGTTTTGTTTTTTGGAAAGAAACAGCGCTGCCACGTGCCGGACTATTTAGTGACTGGGAACAATGACATCCTGCAGTCTCCACTGGTTGCCTGGCAACCTCATGGTGATAACAAGGCTATAGGAAGTGTCTGAGTCCGGTAGTAGTCCAGCTCATAACTCCCCATCAAACAGCAATTTACTCCCTGCTTCCAGTCATTATGCTAAGCTAAATTAAGCTACGTTAAAGCTAATTCTCGGGAAAGAAGTGAATCAGTGTATTTCCCAAATGTATAAAAGTATTTCTTTACAGTTTTCTGCAGGTTGAGCTGCTTTATCTGCACCTTTGATATCATGTGAAACTGTTATTAAACCAGTGTAACTCACAGATAAACCACAGCAACAACATGAACAGGCTCCAGGTGTCTCTTCTCACCTGGAGAGGTGTCAATCAATTATAGTTTGATCAAAAGTGATTTACTGTAAATCAAAGTGAGGCAGGAACCTGAACCTTGTTTTCCATGAGGGGAATGTGAATGTGAAGTTATACATCAAGGAGAATGACTCCCATAGTGATTTAATGCTGTTGGTCGTTATGTAATGATACGTTCTGACTGACGACCTGTTGCTTCTGGTTGTGTGTGTGTGTGTTCTCTCGGAGCAGGTACCTTGACTTGCAGCTCTGTCTGGTAATCCATGCAATGGCTTGAAAACAGGAGGCGGCACAGGAGGAGGAGGTAAGTTCCTCTCAATGGCTGATTCTTTTGGAAAAGTCACATACGAGGACGTCTTTGGCTGCACGTCAGATCAGAAGAGAGAACGTGAAGGAACCACAGGGACAAAGAGATCTATAGGATTTACAGAAACCAGTGGACGACAAACCTTTTCTGGAATCGGAGGAGGTTGACTCTCTGAATCTCTTCTTTTTTCTCTTTCTTTCTTTTCCATCTTTCCAGGATCCCTCTCTGGCTCTGCTTCCTCCTCTGTACCTGCAAATGAGAAAGAAGTGGCTGTCAGCTGGAGGTGTGGAAATCTCTCTGACCGGCGGCACCTTAGCGAGGATGACAGTGAGGTACCTGGTAGAGCGTCGGAGCTCTCCAGCCGATGTCTCTGCCTCAGCTTGGACAGGTTGGGTTTGCTGCTTTGTGGCGGGGGGTCGGGTTTAGATGCAGAGGGAGCAGCCCGACCTCCTCCTCCTCCTCCTCCTCCTCCTCCTCCTGCTGCGCTGCCTCTCCATCCTTCTGTAAACCCTCCACCAGCGTCGGGACTCATGAGTCTGTCTCCCTGTGCGTCCTGCTGATGCCAGTCTGCCTCTGAGCTTTTCAGAGGGTCTGCTTCCTGTTTTGGCGAAGGCGTCCTCTCCGCCGGGTACGGAGGCAGCGGCCTCTGAGCCAAGTGAAGCGCCGGCACTTGTCTGTCCATCTTTTTGCCCGGATGTCTGCTCTCTGTCCACTGACTGTCCACCTGTACGTCCGCGTGTCTGTTCTCCGACCACGACCTGTCTATCTGTCGACCGCCCATCCACTGCCTCTCTATCTTCCTGTCAATCTGCCGTTGGGTGTGTCTGTCAACAGTCCACTGTCTGTCCACGTGTCTGTCTGGATGTCTGCTCTCAGTCCAGTAACTGTCCGTTTGTCTGTCGGCCGTTCTGGGATCTGTGGTTCTTTCTTGCAGCCTGTCGTCAAACTGCTGATCGCTCTGCCTCGCCTCCATCCACTGCTTGTCCGCCTGCAGCACCTCGGATGTCCTCTGCTTGTCGTCCGCCCAGTACCTGTCTGTCTGCACCGGCTGATCAAACACAGCGTCTCCCTCAGCTCTCTGTCAAAACACAAAACAACTAGAATCAGCTCCTCGCCGTCGTTTCCTGCATCAACCAGCCGGTCACAGGAAACACGTCACAGTTCCTGAGTCACAGTGTTGAACAACAGCAGGAGTGTTTTTACAGAACATGATGATGTCACAGTGAAGTTGACCTTTGACCTTTGGATATGAAATATTGGTCATGGTCAGTTTATCCTTATAGACATAGGAGTTAAATTGTGAGTTTGTGAGTTATGACTAAAAAACATGTTTTGTGATGTCATAGTGTGACAGGAAGTGATGAAATTTCCTCTCTCCCTCACAAGAACATGAGGTCATCGTGACCTTGAACTTTGACCTTTGATCACCAACATGAGTCCAGGTGAAATTTTGTGCCGAATCTAAACAGATTTCCTCGAGGTGGTCTTGAGGTACCGCATTCAAGCGGCCTAAACCATGTTTTGTGAGGTCACACTGACCTTGACCTTTGACCTTTGACCACCAAAATCTAATCAGTTCCTCCTTGAGTCCAGGTGAATGTTTGTGCCAATTTTGAAGAAGTTCTGTCAAGGCCTTACTGAGATATCATGTCCACTAATACAACAACAGGCCTCATCATGGACAGCAGCAGCGGGTCGCACTGACTCTACCTCTCTGGGAGAATAAAAGGGGTGTTTGCCCCCCCCCCCGCCTGGGTGAGGGATGCCCGGCACCGGCGGCGGACTCAGAACGAGAGTATTTTTCCCCTGGAGATCGTTCATTTTCCCATCAGCCCCTTCTCCAGGAGATCCCACTCTGGCGGAGGACCTCGGCGGCTGGAGGAACGTGTACACGTTCTCCGTGGCGGTCCTGGAAAAACAAGTTGAAGGACACTGAGGATGTTAGTCTGCTAATATTCCCACAAATTCAAAATGTAACGAGCTCTGAGAAGAGTTAATTAACGAGTATCTCTTCAGCTCGGTCCTAATCTGTGTTCGACATGCAGCGTGTTCGTGTCCGATCGTTCTGCTGACTGTTGGATCCAGAGTCTGTCGCCGACGTCTGTGCACACACTCTGCTATCAGCCTCTCCTCTCATCAACAAAGAAACGAGGGAGATTTACAGAGATTCTTGTTGGAGTTACACAGTTCAGTTCTGCTGATTGTCCCCAGAAGAAATGTGAAGATGTGGAGTTAGAATGAGTCTTTTCAGATGGGGAGTATTGTTATCTGCTTCGTCACACAGGCAGCCAAGGCCATGTCTTTCTTATACTAATCGATTTTCTGTGTGTGTGTGTGTGTGTTCATACACAAACCCTGTGGGTGCTGTAGCAACAGTGTGACACCAATCTCCATAACTCTCTGCCTCAGACTCCTGGGGACCCTGACCGGACAGAGTCTGGTTGCGGTTTTTACGGAAGCCAAAGATGGCGAGCATGTTTCTCCTCTTCTTCCTCCTCAGGGAGTGAGCTTTGTGCAGAGAGGACAGCTGGCTGAAAGAGAGAGAGAGAGGCTGAATGTCAAACACACAGTCCGGTCCTGAACACTCATCTTGTTTGTCCACACATGACTCATCCCTGCCTGGATGTTGTTCCAGTCCTCCACGTCCACGTCCGCTGTTTTTCTGCTCTGCTCTTGCATTTTGCGCGTTGCTAGGCTACGTCTCTCGGTACACTGTGATTTATCTGAGTGCTCTTTTTTTATATTATATTACAAATGTAATCCTATTAAAAGCGTTGGTTTTACCTGATGATCTGCAGCAACATTAATCTGATAAGAATTCAGCTCCGTCAAAATAAAGGTCATCAAACCACTGCATGTATATTTTAAAGGTTCACACTGCAGGTTCTGCTTCTTCTCGCTCATTAACTCTGAACTATTTACACTTAATGCAGTTTTACTCAGTCGCTTTGATGCAACTCACACGAGACAAAAAGCCTCTAAAACGACTGAAACATGACGTCAGTCACTTCAACACTGTCACCAGGGAATTAAACCTTTTCTCCAGAGGTTCACGACCTGACACTAAAATACAGAGTAAAAACATGTTCAGACTCAGCGCTGCACTGCAGTTACAACAGTAACGTGTATAAACAAGCCTGTGGAACACAGAGGAGCTTTAGATTTAGAACATGATAAATCCAAAAATTCACTATAATGAAAAAAGTTTTTGGCATTTGATGCAAATACGTGATTTTTACATGTTTTTGCAGCAGATTTGTGGCACTTTGCATTTTGTTTGTGCAATTTTTGAAGAGTTTTGAAAAAAAAATTGAAAGCAGTTGTAAAAACTTTATCTACAAATTCACAGAATACATATATATTAACTATATATATATATGTATAGTTAATATATATGCAAAACGCTAAACATGGAACTATGCATCGGAAAATAGACCAAGAAAAATATTCCATCAAACTTAGAACACAACATCATTTATAGAAGAGTGAATTCACACCACACACAGTAAATGTGAATATATATGTGTGTGTGTGTGTGTGTGTGTGTGTGTGTGTGTGACTTGCTCTTTCATACATATTTGGAGACAGTTGGAAGTGATTTGATTGAAAACACTGAAGCTGCAGGACGGTATCACAGTGAGTGAGAGTCTGTGATTCTATCTGACGACGGCACAAACTGTTTCCATGAGTCAGAGTCAGACGAGGACTGAATCAACACAATGAGAAAAAGTCATGATGAACTGCATTAACCCTCTGAGGTGGATGGATGTTTTTATTAAAATCTTTGTGATGACACAGAGTAGAAATATGGTTTGAATGTTGTTAGAATCTGTCGACTCTCCACTTTCCATTATATATTCTTGTGAGATCGTACGTGACTCACAGCCTCTAAAATCTGGTTAAAGTAGAGACAAGACGACACTACGACTCAATATTACAAAAATTTCATTTTAGGCATTTATTTACTATTTTACTCACATGTTGCTTTATCTTTATGAAGCTACAGACTTTGGTGAAAACATTTCAATCCATCCACTTCAGTAAAGGTTCGTTTTCACAAGAGATTTGAAGAATTTTAAAATCCAGGCTTTAATTTTTCAGCATTTGGGCCGAATGATCTCTTGACTCATGGCGTCACGACAGAGAGAGCTGACACTGTTCTGAGAACTGAGAACATAAAACACTTGTTATATTATATGTTATATGCAAGAACCCTTTAAAAGGTGAAGTTAAGAGATAATGTAGAAATGGAGAAAACGCCCTCAGAGCTCTAAAGGTTAAGAGTTGTGAGAATGATGTTTCTGATGTGTGGATTGCATCAAAGCCATTGAGAAAAACCGTAATGAAACCACCAGCTGCTAACGACCCCAGCCACATCAAATAACACAAAGACCAACATCTTCCTTTGATCCACAACATGCAAACACCAACAGAGCCGTCAAACCACCGGCTCCACCTCCACTAATCATCAAAGGGGCAACAGCGTTTATCGTTTAATCGACGATCTGAGAGATGACGGATTCATCTAGAATCTGGATCTGAACGAACAAACTGACAGAACTTCTCCACGGGATTACTTCAAAGACAGACAACACATTCGTCAGAGAAACACAGCCTTGTTGAATTATGGATATAAAAGAACATGAAGATGTAAGAACTCAGCGGGGTTCTCACAACAAGTGAGAGAGAATCATTCATTTATATCGACTGAAACACGTTCAGTTTTATTCTTTTTTCTGTGACTGTGTGTCAGTAAATCATCTGTTTGATTTCATTAGAAATCTCATGTTGCTTGAAGCTTTATTGAATTAAGATTCAATTTAACTGAAATATTAATGTTAAAATGAGTGTAACATGACTCCTAAATACTGTATGTACAACTTTAAAGTGTAATGAAATGTATTAAAGTGGATTCAGGCGAATGCGGACGGTGTGAGAACCAGTCAGCATCTGGAGCCGCAATTTTCACATTCACCTCCTATAATAGAGTCATTTATCCATTCATCTTGTGTCTTTTGTTGTTTCTTGGCTTTCTCTCCCTTTTGTGACACACAGTCATTTTTATAATGATGGATGAAAAATCCTCTTATTGGACTTTTATATAAACTCATCTTGTATAATTCTCCGACTGCGACCTTCGGTAAAGATTTGTTTTGCCGACGCTGCCGCAGCATCCCACATCTTTACAGTGATTTTCTATCATTTGAACCTTTCATTTCAGTACACTGGGAAAATCATCGTTATTCAAACTATTTAGAAAACTCTGCTCGTTGCTGTTGCATTCAGGGACGCTCCGACACCTCAGATGTAAGTGCCGATTGTAGACCTTTAACTGACTAACTATGCTGCTGGAAAATTAAACCCAGAAGAGCTAAAGTAAGTAATCCTGTCTTCTTCTTCTTCTTCTTCTTGTGTTTGCTGTGAGAAGGTAATTCTGTTGGACATCGTTGAATAAGGAGAGTTTCTGTGCTCACAGCTGCATCGCGACAATAAACAACAGTGAAGGTGACAAACGGCTCACGGTGATGGATCACCTATCTCAGGCAAGTTTGAAGTCTGTAAGTTGATTTTCAAAGTGCGGTGGATATCTAAAGTAATGAGTGGATCTAAAGTTACTGTCTGCTTCAGAAAACGGCAGAAATTTAAAGGAAATGTGATTTGTAGTTGAAACATGTGAAAGGAGACGAAAGAAAAACCTCTCACCTGTCAGGGAGAACTCGTTTTGTATAGAAGTCTGGGAGTCCATCATCAAGAGGGCTTATTCCTCCATTTTCACTGCAGTGCTGTAAACACACACACACACACACACACACACACACACACACACACAGACACAGACACACACACACACACACGCTCTTTTAGAGAGGGCTCCTCACTCTTGCAGTAGATTTTATTCGTAAATGTTCCGTATGAAACAACAAATGGATTAGACATTAGACAGACAGACGGACAGACAGATACCGTCTCAGAAGCGACGTGTCCTCCTTTGTGTCTCCGCGGAGGTCTCGGCCGAACCCTCGTTACGTGATGGAGAGGCAGGCCCTGTGTTGGCAGCTCTGACAGGCCCTCCCAGGATGCCGAGCGGGATAGCGGCGACGAGTACGATGGCACGGAGGGGGGTGGAGAGGAGCTGGAGTCGTCACACAGACCTGATGGCAGCGAGATGGGGGAATTACAGGGAGCCATCATTTCCGCTTCAAAGTCATTTCATTTGAAACAACTGGAGAGCGCTCTGAGATGAAGTGACTCAGACTTGACTCGGGCCAGATTAAAACAGCCATTAACAGACTTCTCAGATGGAACAACAGGGAAAAAGACTGGAAAGAAAACACACTAATGGTGCCCTGAAAGAGACAGGATGAGGCCGGAGCTAGACAGGAAAGAGGGGAGACAGGAGGATAAGAGGATACGCTGCAGTACTCACTCAGCCGGGTGGAGACGGGTCGGATTCGTCTTGTTCGCGAGCTGCGCTTCTTAATGGCTATTGTGTCCTGGGAGGAAAAAGATGGAGAGAAGTATATTGAGATACGGGGTACGACATACAAACAGGAACAGGTAAACATGTTGAGTGGGACGAACGCTACAATCTGGCCAATCAGTGTTTTTGCCAGAGGAGTTCGCATGCTGAGCAGAGTGCTGCTCAAACTGCAGGCGAAAGCTGACAAACAGATCGTGTGAAAATAGACGACACAAAATCCCAAACACACACTTCATTATAGAAAATCTTCTCAGCTGCAGGAAACTGACTCTAACTGCTGTAATGATCCTGTTCCTGAAAGATCACAAAGAAAGATTCAGAGGGATTAACTACGACTCATTAGGTCAAGATTTGAATTAGTCCAGATGTGGTTCAGAGGTCGGCTCCTGCACTGTACCTGGCTCTGTACTAAGGTGAGGCTCAACCTCTGTGACACCTTGACCAAGATCACTGGAGCTTTTTTAAAATTAATTTAAATTGGAAATTTTACAAACAATCAGACGTATCAGTTCTTAAATAAAAGAGATGGATAAAATGTATTAATAATAATAATAATGATAATAATGATAATAATAAATACATAAATTAAAAAAGGATAAATATATGTGACAGACATCTTCAGACAAACATGGATTCTTGTTTGTTCCCAATTTGAGAGACTCAAAGTAACAAGAGAAACAATTTAAAATAGGGAATTGATAAGGATTAAGGATTTTGCCTCATTAGATACTGAACTTTGCTCAATGGGAAATTTTACAAACATCAACAGATCCTCAACTAGAATTAAATTTATGAAGATTGCTCTGTGTGTGACCAGGAAACGCAGTGACATGGAAATCTGGTTCCCCTCTCCTCAGTGACAGATGGTTGTCAGAAATGAATAGTTGAATCCCTCTTGAAAAGGTCACAGCTTAAGGAAAGAAAACAGCTTTCTGAGTATCTGGCAGCTTTATCTAGAGTCTATAGGAACATCACTGACACCACCATAACAAGCCGTCTGTGGTTAATCAAAGACTCTTTTAGGGAGATACCAATGTCAGCCTAATGTCTCAGCCTAATGTTTTTATGCATATTCTATTTTGGTATATATTTATTTTTTTTAAATGATTTCAGTCTTTATTTATTTTGACATATACTGCCAAGGGGATTGCTGCCAAACTTCATTTCGTTGTGTTTTTAATGCAATGACAATAAATCTATCTATCTATCTATCTATCTATCTAGTTCTGTAAAATTGTTAAAATAAATGTGAAAAATAAAAATATTCAAAGAAAATAATAATAAAAAAGATTTGAATTTAGTCCAATACTTTGGTTTATGACCAAACACCTGAAAAACTGTAACAACATTCCCATCAACCTCAGCTGTACTTTATGTGTAGTTCTAATTAGCAAATGTTAGCATGGTAAACAACATACTGGATACACATCAGCATTGTCATAGTGAGCATGTTAGCATCTTTATGTAAGCATTTACATAGATATGCTAAGTACAGGTACAGTAAGGGTCTATGAATTACACATCTTTTGTGGTTTAACTGTGACATACAACAGGAAATCATCAGCGTAACATTGAACAGAAATATATGGGCTGCATTTATATAGCTCTCTTCTAGTGTTAATGATCACTCACAGCGCTTTATACTGCAAGTCACAGTCACCCAATCACACACTCATTTCATACAGCATACCTCTATCACACATATGCCTCGACACACCGATTGCACATGGGGGGCAATTTGGGGTTCAGTGTCTTGCTCAAGGACACCTCAAAACGCAGACTAGAGGAGCTGGGGATCGAATCACCGACCTTCTGATTAGTGGACTCTACTTCTTGAGCCACAGCTGCCCCAAATTATGTCTGAATAATTTAAAGAGGACGCATGTAAATTGAGAAAGTGATGGGGCCTAAGATTGATCCTTGAGGGACTCTGGCCCATGTTAACAGTCAGCAGATCATTTAACACCATCATAAGGTGTGATTGGTTTAATTCCCTCAAATATAGATGCTAGTTAGTTTGGAGATTGGATGAAAATAATTCAAAGCTGTTTTGTAAAGAGTAGTTGCACTGCCGATTGTTTGAAATGGGATGGTGAGAGACCTGCTGAACGCTGAAACCAAAAGGTATTTTAAGATTAACTCTGGAGGGCAGAAGAAATTGGTTTCAACTTGTCTCTATCAGCAGGATCATCCTGTAAAATACTGAGGTGTTGAACGAACGAGCGCTCTGACAGTTTAAGCTTTACAAACAGAAATGTTTTAAATTCCTCACCGGCTGTGGAGGAGACATCAAGGCTAGAAGTGTATGAGAGTGTAATGACTGAACAGTTAGTGATGAAAAGGGCCCTGGGCCTGTGGGTGATTCTTGAGATAATGTCAGAGAAACAGTTTATTCCGACAGTTTTACCTGCTTCCCTGTAAATACTGAGCTGCTCTTTTAGCGAGTCTACAGGGATTTGCAATTTATTCTTTTTCTGGTTCACTTGGCTTCCCCTACATTCCTGCCACAGTGGCAACATTCAGATAAGATTTATCTTCAGGTTCAGTTTTCATTTGCTGATAAAGAACAATTGAGAAACGTGTAGAAAAATAAGCTTTTACTGTGATGAGCAAAAGTGGTAGCAGCTTATAGCTGAGAACTAAAACCACTAAAAACCGGTGTGAAAACCAGGAACAAGGGAGGAGCGAGGCATCAAAAGATTGCCCTGAGAATACATTAAAAAAATAAAATCCCAAGCCATGAATTTAAGGATGTATTATAAAATAAAAGGAAAGACGTTTAGAAGAGCAGAGAATATGGAAGTTGAAATCCATAAAAGTTCAGACTTAGATATAATGATAGAGAGAAAATGAGAAACCTTTGGTGATCTATACAGTGCTGCATGGGGGCACAGAGTACATGACTAACCAAATCAATGCAAATTAACTTCATCATTCAATCAACTTACATCATCACTTTTAGATCAGAGGGTATCATGTATATAGATAACTTGATTTGTGGAAGTTAAACGTCAGCAGGCTTATGGTGTAGGAATCACAGGATGTTTGAAGTTTAGACTTATAGGTCATCATGGGGGGGAGGGGCTGTCACTGAGCGTGACCTGGGACCAATGACTGCCTGCAACTAAGGACAAACATAATCAACAGTCTATGTCTGGCCGGCCTCTGGTCAAATCACCAAACACAAGAATTAAAGACAAAGACTGAGCTGTGATTTCAGCTGGATTTAGAAGAGACAGAATATCTTTCTTTTTTGTAGTAATTTTTTCAGGTTTTTGCCTCTATTACAGTCAGAGTGAGACTTTCCTTAGAGGCAGGTCTTCATGTGTAACTCCCTCTTTTTGATATGTGGAGTTGATCATAGTCGTTAGTACGAAGCCTCGTTACCAATGACTTCTCTCTCTCCTGCTTTCTCTGCTCAGTGTGTCTTATGTTTAGTTATTCCTCTGCCTCCTTTAGTAATAATGACACATGGAATCAAAGTAGTTTCTTTACTGTAATGGAGGTGAGACTCAGTGTATTGGAAGTGCTCCTCCTCTTCCCTGCAGCTTCAGAGCAGCCGGGAAACCAGAGCAGCTCAGACTGTGACTCGGCACTCCACTGAGCAGGTGTGGAAATATGATCAGTCAGTCAGTCAGTCAGTCAGTCAGTCAGTCAGTCAGTCAGTCAGCCTTGCTGTTGCGGTCCAGCCAAAAACTAACAATGTAGAAAATGAAAAGGTGGACGAGAAAACCTGATGAAAACATGAAAAACTCAACTGTTTTCTCCAGTTATTTGAAACATTATTCTTGGCTGAATACTGTATTAGTCTCTCATTCGTAAGGTCAACGTCACTTTAGAAAGGAATAAGAAATGAATGATCTGTTGTATAAATATTTTGCGTCAGTGAAAAACTGCGAAAGGCCAAAACACAATTGAACTGACAACAAGTCATCCTCCAAAGCACTGGTGAAATGTCTCTGGTGGAGGAGTTGGGGCTTTTCAAATCTTGACCTTTACCTGAAGTGATCCTGTCAAGAAAGTCAGGGTGATGTTTGAAATGCCAAAACCCGGCGGGAAAATCCATCACTGCCCAAAACTGAGCAGCATCACTTTGGTTGGTGGTAGTGCTCAGGTTTATTTATATGGTAAACACAAAGAGGAGAGTGAAGCTAATTTATTTAACATATTCATTAATTCCATAGAAGACTGAGGGTGAACATCTAATATCATGATTATACAATAGGAACTACTGGACTGTGAGAATCAGGCCTGGGGTTATCTGGGGAAGTCTGGAATAATACATGAGGAGAGGGTTGGAGGAAAGTAAAACAATATTTTGTGATGGAAATGCAAATTTACACACAGAGGCTCTAAGGGATGAAACAAATGCTCAAAGCAGTGTGGTAAAAAAAAAGTGGCCGACTTTTTTTCTTCTTTTCTGGGCTTGTTCTTATTTCTTTTATATCAGCAAGAGACAGCTTAACAGATAATGTTCATTTTAATCTCTATGAAATATTTCTAGAAAGAAAAACCATCAGAGAGAGACACAGAGAGGCAACAACCACAGGGCGCCGGACTGCAGCTGTCAATGAAATCGACCTCTGTCTTAGACTTTATCTAATGCGACAACATGAATTTATTGATCATGTGAACCTACTAATTTAACTTGAAAATATTATAAAAACAAATAAAAAAAAAAAACAATAACCTTCATCACAACATCGTGTTACAGAAACGAGTTAATCACCAGATTCAAAAACATGGACACTGACAGTCGCAGAGTTTCCGTTGCAGTTTTGCGTAAAGTAGAGAAGTCGACAAAACATGATTGCGAATGTTCTGTGTTTCCACTGAGTGATGTCATGTGAATAAAGTTGGGTTTTCTCCTCTCACAATATCGTTCCAATTAAACATGAAAAGTCTAAATAATCTCCTTTCCTAAAAACTTCTCCTCCACGGAAAACGTCATGAGGTCAAGGAAAGATGTGAAAAGAATTCAACAGGATTTAGGAAAAGAATCTGACTGGATGAAAACTCCTCCTTTCTTAACCACTAAAACAAAACAAACCATTGGAATAATTAATAAATAAATAGATATGAACTATAAATTCAATATGTTTGTTCTCCATGATGATGATGAAGAAATCTAGTTCAATCTAGTTCTTGATCGTGTCACAAACACAAAGTAGCTGCTCTGTTGTTTCTACATTTACGTGGCTCTGCTGCGGTGAAACTACGACGTCGCTTTAAATGTTGCTGCAGCAAAGAATTATGGGACGGCATTTTTCTCCTTTCCTTTTCGTAATGGAAGGTCCAGTGTTTCCTACGCTAAAGGAGATAAGATAGGAAGTACTGAAGCTCCTTTCCTCATCCTCATGACTGCCGCTCAGCGACTGAGATGTTTGAGTCATCAGACCGTGACAAACAGAAAACACGTCACTACACTCACTATGCTGGTGCCGAGCTCCTCGTCTGTGATGTCCAGAGAGTCTCTGTGTCTGTTAAACCTCCAGCCTGTCCCGTCTTCACACGTCCCGTCCCACCGTTTGAGGTGGGACACCTGCCGGGTCTGAGACAGACAGCGCTCTTAAACCTTTTGGCAAACACACAGTGACTCTCACACACTCAGCACCTTTTACAGTAAGTGCTTTGTATTTACCAGGGTCTTATGGGTGGCGTAGAGCTCCTGCAGGATCTGGTCCACGATGGAGTTGGTGAGATAGGAAACCACTGAGAGCTTCACCTCTCTGCAGGAGATTGGGTTAGAGGGAAGGGAGAGACAGACGGGAAACAGTTTGGTAAAAATGAGATCGAATCAATAACCTGTTTATCAAATTCAGACCCATCACTGCCGCTCCGCCCTCTTCCTTCTCCAGATCCCTCTCTTACTCTAAGGCTCGGTGAATGTCCTGCGCTGCTCTCTCCATCAGGGCGGTCCGAATGGCAGAGCGAGGGATGGACACGCGCTCGGAGACGGACGAGAGCGGAGGACTCAACCTCTCCGCCGCAGAAGAAGATAAAGGACAGAGCTCGCGACAGAGGGACACCATTGAGTCCACGATCACCTGCAACGGATGCTGGTTATCAGTAACTCACTCATCTGTTGAGGACGGCGCTGTGAAAAGAGGCTGTTAGCTGCTACCTGAAGCTCCTTATCTGCAGCTTTAGCGAGTTCCCCAGCCAGAGAGTCCAGTCTCTGCCGCACCGGCCCGTCCACAGACAGCACATGAGCCAGCTCACACAGTGAAGGGTAGAGCTGGGGGCACCAGAGAGGACGGATCCGTTCAGAGTCAGAGCAACAGTAAATGAAATACTACAGTCACACATTTCACACCACTCACAGCGCGGGAATTCCTGGCCTCTTTTAGCACTTGTTTAGCAGCTTGAATCTCCTCCATCTCCCCGACACCTCGCAGCAAACACACCTGCTGCTGGACACGCACACACAGGCGCTCCATCACCTTGGAAACAGACAGGCAGCGGAGCGTTACCAGCGCAAACACACATAAAACACCCTCATAAAGGTAACGCGCACACAGACGGGTGCTACCTGTTCGGCGGTGCTCGTGACCAGGCCCTGGTGCAGCCGCAGAGCCTGGCGCTGAGAGAAGCTCTGGGTCTGGTTGTTCCTCACCAGAGCGCGCTGGATCTGAGAGGAGGAGGAGGAGGAGGAGGAGAGGCAGGAGGATGAGACGGGCAGAAACACACCGAGGAGACATGATAAAAAAGACACGATGATATATAATTTTAATGCAAAAAAAAAAAAAAAAAATTCAGTGGTAAAAATTCACANAACTGTGACTTTATTGGTTTCTATCTAAATTGAAGACGAATGTCCTCATATGTGGACATCATTTTTCTCAGAAACTACATCATATAAAAACATAATTCTTTGTTGTTACACTCATCAGGTCCCAATCAGCCTAAATAGCAAAGAGAAATTAAAAATGCACGCCATGCAAGAGTTCGGGTCTTAGGAGGTTAAAATTTGAAACACATTTGTGTCCAAATCAATAACTGTTCAGTTGATTTCTTTATCTGGTGACACAGATTTGCTTCCATAGACTTCACATCTGCCACCTCCTCCCGCCACCATCCACACACAAGTAATTACAGGAATGACTGCAGCACTAAGATGGGAAAACATTTCCTTTACTTATGTGTGTATTTGCAGCAGCATCAAAGTAAAGGATCTTTACCTGCAGCCTGATGTATTCATCTGCTGGCAGAAGCTAAATCCATCAGAATGTCCTTTCTTTAACTTTAATAAAGGGAATCATAAAGAGCAGCGAGCTGGAAGTTCTCACTGTTTAAACCACATTAAGTTTCATTTCCATACTGAACATTTCTATTCTGTCGTTTCCACAGACTTACAATGGGACTCACATTATCTTTTGAGTCCTGGTCATTTTTTCGTCTGAAGAATAAATCAAACATTTCGCTGCTCTGTGTAGAAATGAACGGAGTTCTCCAGTGGCAGGAGTTTTATGATAAAATGACTCTTTATGATAAAAGCTGACGACCAGACGCACATCTCACAGAGCGGCAGAGGTCAATTATCTTTTCTGTCAGAGCACTCAGACGCCTCGGTTACGATCCAAAGCGCTCGATGAATTCACGTCTTAGTTGAAGTAAAATCCGGTTTTGAGGATGTAAAACACTGATGATGATGTTCTGATTTCATCTCCCAGATTTTCTTTCATCTGTCTTTGAATTTAAGTTTTTTCGTCCTGACAATGACAATGAGACAATGGCTGCTCTCGGATGCCGACCTTGGTCAGTGCCTGCTCTGTCCTCTCGGGGGCGCTGCGGTACGCCTGGCTGATGTCACTTAGGGGGAGAGGCATGTATTGCAAGGTGAAATTACTGAGAGAGAGGGAAGAGAAGAAGAGGAAGGAAGAGCAGAGGAAGGGTCGAGTTATTGAGGGTGACAGTAAAAGACTAAAAAGGAGAAAATAAAGTGGGTTACAGATTCAAGGGTTAGTTAAGGTTAATATCCCCACTGGACAGAGCTCATCCCAAAATATCGCTCCAATGCCACACGGCGTGTGAGTAATACTTTGATCTTTGTAACCATGTCATCCTTAGCCTAAAGGTAAGTCTGGACCATTTAAGATAGCAAAGTGGAAAGCAACAATTTGCTCAGCTCACGTTGCACATTTCAACTTTGATAAATGTTCTAAAAACAGAAGGTAAATCTAACACGGTTTCTAGAAATCAATATGTTCCTTACAGCTGATGTACAGAGTATCCTAGATCCCAGCAAACATATGTAAAAACACATTTTGCTGCTGCGTCCGCGCTCTTACTGTTCAAGTGCTCGTGCCACATCCAGGAACCCTGCTGCGGAGGTGTTGTTGCGATCCCATGTCACACTCCTGCGGGGCAGAGCAGAGCTGCACTTAATACAAACCTCCATACAGAGCCACAGAGTCACAGATCCTCCCGCTCTTCAGCCTGACCCTTCACCTGAGTGTGGTGTTGATCTGCAGGGCTTTGCTCAGCATCTTGGCTCCGATGTCGTCCATGTTGTTCCCACTCAGGTCCACCTTCCTCAGGCAGGTGTTGCTGCCCAGGGCGTTGACCAGCACGGTGCCCCGAGAGCGTAGGCGCGAGTCTGTCAGCGACAGCGACTGCAGGGCCTGGAGTGGGGGGGTGGGGGGGGTGGGCAGCATGAAAGGGGCACGTGTGTCTTCAGTGTCTCAGTTTGTCTCGGGGCGTTTTTAGAAATAAACGAGGCCGAGAAACAAACTGAGCAGTGAGAGAGAAGATGAAGTGCAGTGGTGAAATTTACTTCAGAGTGATGAGACCGCTCGCCTACATGACTCCACATGCTGTATGTATGAATTATTTACAATATGTGTGTGTACTGATATCGACACTAAACCCACAAGGGCAACACAGAAACAGTAAAACACTGATACATCTGCAGTGAAATATAAATATAAAGTGGAAGAGTTTTTCTTTCCCCTGGCAGAATATATTCTTTCATTATTTGGATGATTTGTTACGAAGCACACTTTGCACAATTTGCATTTTACAGTGTGTTTTTATGAGTGCAGACTTTTCCCGCATGATCACTCACACATTCCTCCTCCTGTATGATTTGGACCAGCTTCTGCAGGACCTCATCCAGAACCCTGCAGACACAAACCGCAGAGACAAACACAGAGACGAGGCTACATGAGCCGGCACGAGTCATTTCCTGCTGCTGGCGAGCTGTCTGCCCGCTTATGAAAAATCACTGACACGTACATTGAAGCCGGCACATGCTGTGTAAACGCAATACACACACACACACACACACACACACACACACACACAAAAGTGCAGTAAAATGAGAGAGAGCAGCAGCTGCACCTGTTTTTGATGTTGAAGTTCTTGCCCAGATGAAGGTGTCTGAGGGAGGGGTGTCTGGAGAGGGCTGGCAGCACTGTGAGCAAGTCTGCATCCAGACCTGTCAACACACACAAACACACACACACACACATATATATATATATATATATATACACAAAGCTCAACATGACTTCCATTAACAGCCCACTCAAACCTCGCATGCCTGAGGACTAAAAGTCAAGGTCACAGAGAGATGTGCTGCAGCGCCGTCGTACCGTTGTCTGAGATATCCAGAGTGGCGATGGAGGAGACTCTGGGGAAGAGTTCCTGGATTACAGCAGCTCCTGCAGACCTTAGCTGGAGAGAGGGAGAGAGAGAGAGAGAGAGAGAGAGAGAGAGGGAAAACTAACATGTGCACAGACATGAATCAGAGTCAATTTAGGTTCGGTCTTCGGGGATTAGTTCTATTTCTCCAGACTGAGGCAAATTTATTGATGCCTTTTTTATGTCTCTGCGAGCAGTCTGCAGTCTGAGGGCCTGTTGAACTGAGAGGTTTGCTTTGCTTATGTTCTGCAGCAGCTCTGCTCAGCGGTCGGGAAACACTCTCTGCCACTTATTAACTAAGCACTTACATATACTTAAAAATCTGGAGGAGCTGTTTCTGCACACAATCGACCCACTCAGTGAAATGAGCAACTTTGAACCAAACGTGTGAATTAAAAAGAATTATTACTTTCAACAGGTGTTTCTGTTGAACTGAGCGGCCTCCAGTCATCAGGGGGAAACTGAACAAAGCACATTCACTCAAGTGCAAGTTTGAGAATTATAATTATGATAAATATAATTGCACTTCGTTACATTTCAGAGGAAATTCATGTATTTTCCACTTTATTTGTCAGCTGCTGTTTCTGTTTAATATTCTAAATACAGAACGTGTGATAATAAAATATATTTCATTATTACCCAACTTAAAACTCAACTTCAACATTAAGATGCTACAATAATAATCCAACACTATATAATATAACTGACAGGGGCCAATCTAACTGCATAGTAGGTACGTTAATAACATTCCCGTGTTATAACATTTTTATTATGATGTTATAACACTTGTGTGTTATCAGCAAATCCGTGTAAAAACATTGTGAATTCTACAGTTTGAAATTGAGTATTTTTATATTGTTTCTACTTTTACACTGAATATTTTTAACACTTGGAGCAACAAGCTGATATCGCTCACGCGTTAGCAAACACTTAGCTATTTCTACACGTGACTCACAGCCGAGTGACAGGACGACACTACGACTCAGTGATTCACTATCTTTATGAAGCTATAGACTTTGGTGAACACATTTCAAACACCAAAACAATCCATCCACATCAGTAAAGGTTCGTTTTCACAAGAGATTTGAAGAATTTCAAAATCCAGGCTTCAATTTTTCAGCATTTGTGCCGAACGATCTCTCTGCTCTACGACAGAAAGAGGCGTCATGACAGAGAGAGCTGACACTGTTCTGATCTTATATTCAAGAACCTTTAAAAGGTGAACTTCAGAAATAATGTAGAAATCTAGAAAATGCCCTCAGAGCTCTAAAGGTTAATGATGAGGACAGATAAACAGATGAACTCTTACCTCACAACCACTGATGTCCAGATGAAGGTCATTGATATGAGGGTTGGAGGTCAACCCTGCCAGGAGAGCCCTGTGGACAGAAAGAAGAGGAGGTGAGTGTCAGAGACGAGACGAGGAGGAGGAGGAGGAGGCGGTGATCACTTTGTCGACTCAGCTGAGGAGGATAGCTGTAATTAAAGTAGCCTGAGCCTTTATTGCATTGGAGTTCAGATAAAAGGGAGCAGGTTTCGATAGAGAATGAGAAGCAACATGGCGAGTACCTCAGAACATCAGGGGGCAGCTTCATAGAGGCCAGGCTGACGTGAGTGAGGCTGAAGGCCGAGCTGAAGAACTGACGAAACATCGGCAGCGTGTCCTTCACTTTCCTGTTGAATTTAAGAAAGAAAAAAAGCAGAGGGATGAAAGAGACGTAGGTGTGAGAGCCGGAGTGAGACGGGCCGAACATTGTTGACATGCCGGGTAAACACAAGTGCAGCGCTGAGCGCAGAGTCACTGACACAGGATGAGGAATGAAGTGAATATTGCTTTGGTGTGAGAAGGGGGAGCGAGTGGGGTCAAATGATAGATAGCTCTGCTTAAATATTCATGAGTCTTATCTATGCAGACAGCGCTGAGACTTCTGGTTTTAAACAGAAGGAGACACACCCACAGAGAGCAAACACAATGTTCCAGTGATTCCCACAAAGCTCATTTCTGATTTCCCATTAAGCAAAGAGATGGAGATAATGAGCGAGGAAAAAGAGGGAGTGGAGGAGGCCTTTAAGGTGAAATAAGGATGATATCGTCCCAGATTTGGATTTGCCACAGCCTTTATTGTTCAGGCAATCTTAAAGACATGACTAACCTGTGGGAGAAGGAATTTTTGGAAAGATTCAGAAAGGAGAGATCAGCGCAACACCCCCTCAGAAGAGCCCCAAATAGCTGCATGAGACACAGGGTGGAAACGGTTAAACTGGGCTGAGGATTGTTCAGACAGAACGTTGCACGTAAACACTCCATCATCCCGAGCCATTAAAACACTCACTGAGTCCACGGAGCAATCTGTGCCGGACAGATCCAAATGGACCAGGCAGTTGGGCTGAGACAAGAAGAGATACAAGTTCTGCAAACAGAGATAGAGAGAGGGAGAGAGAGGGAGAGAGAGAGAGAGGGAGGGAAACATCTTATTCAGGTGGAAAAGTGCAGTAAAAATGGAACCGAGTGTGTTTTTATTTCCAGATGGGTTGTGCTCTCTGACCGAGGCATCCTCCCCCGAGAGGACCCCCGGGTTCTTGCTCAGGTCCAGGTGCAGGAGAGAGTTGGAGTACTCGTCGCTGGAGCACAGAGCCTGAGAGAGAGACACCACTCCTGAAAAGAGAGAGAGAGAGAGAGAGAGAGAGGGGTGGGGGTGCAGATGGATAAAAGGAAAAGAAAGAGAGACAGAGACATGATGGAGGAGGAAGTTGTACAATATTAAAAGAGAGCGAACACTCAAAACATTTTGTGTCATTACATTATTCATACACATCTGCAGCAGCAGCAGGTATCAGTGGATGTAGCGGGAGGCAGCGTATAGTATCTGCCTGCTTCAATCTAATATTTAAATTCTCCACTGAGTGCAGGGGAAGACGAGACAGGAGCAGGAGGCGCGCTGCCCTCAGGCCGCCACGAGACGCCGTGAGTCAATATGGAGTCGTAGCAGGGCCAAGAATATGAAACACGGCCGAGAAGCAGCTGGAGCTCTGCAGGTTTTACATTCTCTAACCTGCAGTATTTCACAAGCTGAGCTCAATCAGCTGGAGTTTTAACCCATTCACACATGATTCTGGAGAATTACTGCTTTGCATTGTGGGAAATCCTGCTGCAAACTACCGAGAGGAGAATAAAGGGCCCAAACCTTTGGAGGTGAGCGAGGTCTTGGAGAGGTTGAGCAGACGAAGTCCCTTGCTGAGGCGACACACCTGCTGTATTAAGTTGGACACACCTGCAGCAGAGGAAGAAAAACCAGAGTTACAGAGGCATGTGTTCTGTGGAGTCAGTGTTTGCATGATCTTTTTCATTCACCCTGTTCTACTGAAGCCTTTACTTCGACAGTAACTCATCTTAGAGAAGCGTGGGCTGCTGAGTTAAACGCTGAAGCGCCACATGACGGTTGAAAAGAGGGACGATCCAAGGTCACACATTCATGTTGTGATTACTTGCCTCAAGTGTTGATAGTTTTCTAGGATACTTAACCTTTAGAGCTCTGACGGCGTTTTCTTCATTTCTACATTATTTCTTAAGTTCACCTTTTAAAGGGTTCTTGCATATAACATCATACATACAAGTGTTTTATGTCACAGTTCTCAGAACAATGTCAGCTCTCTCTGTCGTGATGCCATCCAAATGCTGAAAAATTGAAGCCTGGATTTTGAAATTCTTCAAATCTCTTGTGAAAACGAACCTTTACTGAAGTGGATGGATTGAAATGTTTTCACCAAAGTCTGTAGCTTCATAAAGATAAAGCAACATGTGAGTAAAATAGTAGATAAATGCCTAAAATGTAATTTTGTAACATCGCTGAGTCATAGTGTCGTCTTGTCTCTACTTTAACCAGATTTTAGAGGCTGTGAGTCACGTACGATCTCACAAGAATATATAAAGGAAAGTGGAGAGTCGACAGATTCTAACAACATTTAAACTAAATTTATATGCTTCGTTATCACAAAGATTTTAATAGAAACATCCGTCCACCTCAGAGGGTTAAGAAAGACATAAAACCAGATCTGTCCTTCACCATCGTTGGTCGTTATGAGAGGACGAAGCCTTCAATACACATGAATGGGCCAAAACTAATTAAACTCTCAAACTGAAATTCTTTCTCTATGTTTTAAAACAAGAAGCTTTTATCATTAAAGTGGAGCAGCTTTGTTTCATCCACCATCCAGTTCTGGAAGTTCGGTGGCCGTTCCTCGACTTGCTGGTGAAAATGTGAAAACCTATTCCATGTTCGGTCGTGTTTATCTCCTCCAGTGTTTATGTTCTCTCTTTGGAGTTTCAGATTGAAACCAATACGAGTCAGTGAACATCGCGCCTCCAGAGACGTGATGTTTTCAGTCTGAACCTCCGCTGCAGTAAATGAGAACCAGAGAGAAGCTGATGTGTGATTGTACCTTGGTTGTCCAGTGAGTTGTGGGCCAAGTTGAGCGAGTGGATGACGGAGGCAGGGTTCTCTGACAGAGCGGCGGACATCTTCTGAGGGAAGTCTCTGTGAAGAGGGTCCGAACAGACAAACACATCAGGGCTGCGACTCACAGCTTTCAACAACTATTCTGCTGATTAATGTTCTGATTAATTCAAGTGAAAAGTGCACATCACTAGTTCAAATCTCTGCTTTTGTTCAACTTACAGTCCAAAATCCAAAATCCAAATTATTAAAATGTAAGACAAAGAAAAGCAGCTAATTCTCCCCAATAAATGTTCATTTGGTGATTAATCGATTTTAGAAATAGTTGGTGGTTCATTTTTTGTAGATCAACGAATTGACGAATCACTGCAGCTCATTTAAAGGGGCGCTGCGCTAATTTAGCACTGCACTATAATAAAAAAGAAAGAAGGAATTTCAGGATGGAAGCAGCAAAGGCCGAGATATTTGACTTTAAAGGCTCCCTGTTTCGTGTATCTTGTGCATGTGCACATGTGAATGACTCGATGTACAGATGTGCCAGCGGTGACACGTCGCATAATGCAGCAACGCACCAACAAACAACAATCCTGCATCTAAAATACTTCTTCATCTTTGCAAATGTTTTATCAGGAGGAAAATGCACTTGACACATTTGTTAGATCTCCAGGAAACAGACTGTGTGTTACTGAACGTAAAGATAACTTTTGTTTATTTACAAGAAGACTCGGCTCCAAGAACTCTGCATCTTACAATCCCCAGAATACAACTCAAATGTGTCAGTTAGTGCGCCCCCCCCTCCACAGGTCAATGCCCCTTATCTTTGAAGCTAACCAGAAAACCATCAGGTTTATTTTTCAGACTTTAGAAAGTTCCCTTCAGGGGCCTCAGAGGAAATTATACAACTGTCTTCACAGACTGAGTCGTTCTCCAAGTGTAAAATGGACGTACTGGCCCTTTAAGAGGAGTCAAAACTTACGATTTTAGCCCGGCGTTCTCCAGAGTGATCTCCTCCAGGCTGGACGATTTGCTGACCGTATGCAGGACCTGCTCCGTGACCTCTGACCCCTGAAGGAAAAAGGAAGCACTGAAACTTCACCAGTTTTCTTCTTAAAGCCTCGACAGACACAGGAAGTAAAACCGGAGGAGTTTGTACGTACTATGCGCAGGTCTTTGCAGTACAGCTTGGTAAACCACGTGTTGTACGCCATCGAGGCGACGATCACAGCTAAATCCCTGGAAAGGACAACGATGAGGTTAATGAGGTGAACGCTCTTTGGAGGTGGCGGCGTTTGATTTGCTCTCGGCCCCTCACCTGCTCTCCAGGTGGCTGAAGTCCAGCAGGTTAAACTCTCGGTTGTCCTGGGAATGATAGATGGTGTCCACATCCTAGGAGCAACATTACTCATCAGCCTGTTTGCCGCAGCACATGACCCCCCCATCATTTTGTGCACAGCGCTGTACGTAACACTCACAGTGACACAGGCACAGCCCCACAGCTCTTACCCACTGCACTTCCTCCTTGCAGCTGATGCCATTATAGTCACACAGAGCGGCGTAGGTCTCTGAGAAGCCTCCTGAGAGAGAGAGGAAGGCGGGAGATGAAAACAAGAGAGGTGGGGGGGAGGGAATGAAAAAGAATGTGAGATGATACGAACAGCTGCTTCCTTCAGCGATAACAGGAGAGAGAAAAGAGAGGAAAGCGCACACAGAAACATTCGTCCAAATTATCATACTTGTGTTTGTGCGACAGGACTTTAAAAAGAACATCTGGACGACCATTTGTGAGATGTGTGTGAGCCAACATCCTCTTGAGGCTGCTGAGTGGTGTGCACGTACACCCTGTGTGTGTGTGTGTGTCTGTGTCTGTGTGCGCATGTGTGCAAATTCCCATGTTTGATGATAAGGCCTCTTTTACCACAAGCCCTCTGGGTTTCCACTGAAGTCTCTGAGCTGGGCGAATACTTCCTGCTCCCCTCAGAAAGGTCACTGTCTGAGTGACTGATGGACGGGCTGCAGAGATAAAACACAGATACGTTATGGATTCTGCTTTAAAGCGCCTGATAATCTGACGCTGCACAGACGTGAGACACTTACGCAAAGATGGAGTTGTTGAATATGCGAGACAGAGCGAAATTAATATGGCTGACCACATGATTGAGGTGCTCGCGGGATTCAAACCTCATGGAGTAGCTGGACTTGTCAGTGTCGATGATGACCTGCACAAACAATGGACTGTAAGTGACTGCTGGTGGTTTAATCTTACTGCACTCTAGAGAAGCATTAACATTTTCTTTAGACCCTCCCTTACACCATATCTCAAAATACAGTCCTGCGTTCATTTGTTTAATCTTTAATAACGTAAAGAATTTAAGACCGTGTGATCTAATTTAACCCTCTGAGGTCGACGGATGTTTCTATTAAAATCTTTGTGATGACACAGAGTAGAAATATAGTTTAAATGTTGTTAGAATCTGTCGACTCTCCACTTTCCTTTATATATTCTTGTGAGATCGTACGTGACTCACAGCCTCTAAAATCTGGTTAAAGTAGAGACAAGACGACACTACGACTCAGCGATGTTACAAAAATTAATTTTAGGCATTTATCTACTATTTTACTCACATGTTGCTTTATCTTCATGAAGCTACAGACTTTGGTGAAAACATTTCAATCCATCCACTTCAGTAAAGGTTCGTTTTCACAAGAGATTTGGAGAATTTCAAAATCCAGGCTTCAATTTTTCAGTATTTGGGCCGAATGATTTCTTTACTCATGGCGTCACGACAGAGAGAGCTGAGACTGTTCTGAGAACTGGGACATAAAACACTTGTTATATTATATGTTATATGCAAGAACCCTTTAAAAGGTGAACTTAAGAGATAATGTAGAAATGGAGAAAACGCCCTAAAGGTTAAATCTTGAATAATATCTGAATTGTCTGAATAGATTTTCTGTGTGTGCGCCAGAATCGATCCAGATGTGGAAGCAGCATCTGACAGTCTGGCTGTATATGGGCCAGACTCGGGCCGTGGAACCGGGCAAACACTGAGCCGGAAGAAAACAAGCACATGTTTTGCAATCTGAGAAGCAAACCTTCAGGACCTGCAGCACAAAATAAAAGCTGTTGTCTGTTACACCTCCTTTCCACTGAATGTTCCACCTGTATCCGAAAGCTCAGCCTGTAAGAACCTCATAGGTTCTAGGTTCTGCCTTGTGCTTTACGAGCCGTAACATTTTGGTTACGCTGCCATAAAATCTAACAGTGGACATAAAAACAGAACCCGTGACAATCGCTACACCTGAAGCCATGCGTTGTTAGGTTCCTCTAATTGGAAAGTCTTATCTTTATTCTCACAGGCTAAGGCTAACATTAAAATTTAAGGCAAGAGAATATTAAAAGACCCTCCCAGGCTCTGTGAAAAAAGCTCAGACTGAGCATCTTTCAGCAAAAAGAAAAAATATTCAAAACATTCCACCTTTTATGACCTTCTCCTCTTTGGTCTCTTTACCTCGTTGCCATCATCATCAGCGAGAGAAGAGAAAGACTTCATAAGAGACGTCTGTCTGTCTGTCTGTTTGTCTGTCTGTTTGGAGGAAAGCTTTATCCCAAATCCCTTAAAGGCCGGAGTGATATAACCACTCCATTATACACCTGCACAGACAATCAATCAGTGTCGGCAGAGTTCAGTGCTCAGGTGAAACCTCACCTGCTGCTCAGGGTGTGAATTCAGAGCTCGAATCTCCAAGAAGTTGAATGTGGATTCGACCTGTTGTGAGACAACCAGGTGACAAATGTCAGGCGACGTCGTGACAGAAAAGTTTCACACTGTACATTAACCGGAGGGAGAGAAGTAGACCGACCTTGGCGGGAATCTTTGTCGCCAGGAAATAGAGACGCCATGTTGTGAGGACCTAAAAAAAAAAAAGAAAAGAAAGAAAAAGGGAACAAAGCAAGTTGAACCAAGACTGTGTTAAAGTTCACTCCCCGTGAGGAGAAACTAGTCCCAGGAGTTTCCATGGCAATGATGAAAGGAAAATAAGGAGTCTGTTCCATATTCATGTATTGATCCGGCTAAAAGCCCTGGATGTCAGAGACACTTGTCTAACATTAACAGATGAACGTGCTGCCATGCGGGCTGAGAAATGACGGCATGTTGCAAACGTTTTTAAATCACGTTCTCACACATAAGAGTTGTACTTTCATTAGCGTGACATTATTTCCGCTGCGGGTGAACATGAAAGCGGCTCATTCATTTCATTTGCGGGATACAGTGGCAGCTTTGGGCTCAACAGGAAATCATTTCTGGTCGTTCAGCATTTCTCCGGGTCTTTAATATGAGAACTTAAAGGGAAGAAGCTTCACACAAGTGTATTTTTCTCACCATTTAAAGCGGCAGCAGCTGCTCCAGAGACAGAGCTGCAGGTCACTCTGGGTCAGGATGCAGACTTAGCATTTTTACCATGTTACTGTGGATAACTCGCCGTCTGCAGTCCAGGATGTGTGGGATCATTTTTTTTTTTGTGCAGTACAAAGTTGACAGGAGTTTGGACGTGACTGGAAATTTGAGAGAACTACCAAGAGCTTATTTGTGCGTCTCGATCAGAAGCGATCGTGCCTGTACCCGCTTCCTCTCAGCGTGGAAACACTTGCGCCGCGCGGCCGTCGGATAAATCTCATTGTCCCTGATTCTTCTTTGTGAGCGAGAACTGACAGAAGGAGAGAAAATGTCAGCGTCTCTCCATCAAAGCAAATAAGGAGAGGTGATTCTTTGGCATTTTGCTGCTCTCCAGTCGCCCCTGAGAAATGCCCTCTGCTCTTTTTCTTCTCCTCTTCTGCTCCGTCGCTCCCAATCATTTACTCCATTCTCTCTTATTGCCCTGCTAAAGCACTCCCTGTGGACACCCCCCGTCTCCCGCCCCCGCGTGTTTCCTTTTCTACCTCCATGTGTCTCTCCCCAATGAAAAGCAGTAATTAAATTACAGCTCTCCCGATCTACTGTTGTGTTTTTTGGAGAGAGGAGCTTGACACCGGCCTCGACACACAGACAGCCTCCAACACCCACACAGAGAGTGAGGTGTCTGAGACGCAGTCACTCAAAATGTAAAATGTGCATGAGAGATGTAGAGAGAGAGAGAGAGAGAGAGAGAGGGAGAGAGAGAGAGAGAGAGAGAGAGATTCACATCAAAGGCCGTCTGGAGGAGATGATTAAAAAGAACAGATTGTATCACATTAGGGTGATGAGCTGGGGTTAGGGTGCTAGTTAAGAAAGAGTGTTAGAGTAAAAGTAAAGTAAATCATGCTGACGCAGCAGGAGAGAGAGAGAGAGAGAGAGAGACAGAGAGGGACAAAGAGAGACAGAGAGAGAGAGAGACTTGTTGCAGTATCCCACATCAAAGAGAGGCCACACACACATCATGCTTATTGTGGCGTGTAATTATGCAGCAGTGCTGGGACAGGACACGTCCTCTAATCCTCTCTTGTTTGACACTTCGGCTGAAGGAAGCCTCTGTGAGAAATCGTGGAGATAAGTTGGTGTAACCTGCAGTGACAGAGCAAAACTCATCCAGCCCCCCCCCACCCCCCCGATCCTGATCCCTCTGTGAAATACGAGCACAAAAAACCCAAACACATTTTTAAGCTCTGCTTTCCCCAAAATGCCAGCCCAGTGCGTTTGATCAAACTCCAATCTATTTTTCCGTCTTCTGTGCTCGCCCAGCGGGAGCGAGAACTCCGGCTTCCCAGTTCAGCTTTTTGAGAGGAAGCAGTAAATGAGACACAGATTGGAAAGAGATTATTGGAAAGATATTTCTGGCAGATAGACATATCAAAGTGTGCAGATATCAAAGGCTGTACATGCAGAAACTCTCCTAACCGCCCGTCCTTGCCACACGATGAATCATTAAAGCATCCATTGAGCGGAAGGGCTGCTCTGCCAAGGCGAAGAAGACCGCTCGGCCGGGGATGAAAGCTCATTGGCTCGACGGGGGATTGCAGGAGGGGTAACGGGAGTCGCTAGTCATTTAAACAGTGTAAAAACTACACCAGCTTCACTGCAGATGGATCGAGCTTTAATAAGATCTTTCTCATACAGATGTGGTTCAGCTGCTGCTGCACATAAAGGAGCACTCGTCTATAAAACCTGCTGTATCCTGTATGTGTCCTACATGAGGTGTGTGTCTGTCTGCACATGTGCACGTCCACTGCACTCTGCAAACACTGGCCTCCATCCAGGGTCCAGTTTAAGGTCTGGCCCACAGAGTAAGAGCTTATTACCCCAGATTTTATCCAGATAGCTGGCTGCGCTTCACTCACACAAATAGAGGTTTTATATCTCTGTCCCATATTCTCTGATGAAAGCACCCCAGAATCAAAGGCTGCGCTCAGCTCCCCTCTCCCTCCACAGCAGGACTCGCAGTGCAGACACACACAGGAATCCACAGCCGCTCCCACAGATACCGTCTATCCAATATTCATCCATCCCGGCCGCCAACAGCAGCAGTCACAGAGGAGAAGCGGCAGTTAGTGAGTGAGAGTAGAAAGCAAGACGCTCGCTCTCGCTGTTAAATCATGGAGAGCTTCTGCCTCTGCTGTCATGGATATCACCACAGTGGCAGAGATCCATTAACGCTGCAGCAGAAGTTAGCATCAAAGACACTCTACATACATGATGCATGCATCAGGCGGCTTATTTGGCAGGATTAAGGTGTTCGTCTACGGCAGCAGCCCTGTGTTACTGTGACGGGCGGGAAGCTTACCAGTATCCTGTCCTCTGTTTTGCCATTTTTGGTGTCGAGCTTGATGCCACGAACAAACTTTATAGATGATTTATCGATAATCTTCCTGATGCTTTCTGTGGAGAACCAAGACACACAGTGTTAGAAAAACACACACAAACAGGGAACTCACTCTCCAACATTTCAGAGCGTTTAATAAAAATCCTATCACTGCTGACATTTCTCAAACCATGTTGTTGTCTTTTAGATGTTTGAGTGCGTTCTTACTTTCCCTGCAGCCACTAGTTTCACTCATTTATCTGTACAGAGAGAGGTGATCCATCACAGACAAAATCATGTCTGCATTGATTATTGTTGTTTTACGTTACGCTGTCGTCTGGTGGGAATGCAAACGTACAGTAAGTCTACACTGATTTGGAAAGTACGCTCTGCACTGTCGTACAACAGTAACATCAACTCCACGAAGGTCAAATCAGACATGAAGTTCACTGGTTCTCACACAGGACTGAAAACACCTACAAGGTAAACACAATACATGAAGTATTACGGCTGTAACAAATGTAAAGTTTTCATGATTCAAAGTAAATTAGATAAAAGATGGAAAGAAAATGTTATTCATCAGCTTAGTCCAAATGAAACTTGGCAGTAAAGCACTTTGACCTTTGTCTGGACCGGCCTGTGTCCACATCTTCATCTAACAGCAGAGATACGACCTATTCTGACATTTCACATAATAAAATAATCTCCGACTCTGTTCCTGAATGGATCCTGGTGAATATAAATAAATTACAAACCTTTTAAATGTAAAATGATGTAAACAGCAGGGTTAAAGGTTGTGACATTTAGAGGGTCAGCACCTGATTTCATGTTTTCATTTGTTGATTGTAGAAAAATGAGAATATTGTTCTTTGTCAGTTCAGCTCGATACTATCACCAGAGTGTTTCACAATATGCTCCAGTGTCCTCTCTTCCTCTCTTCCATCATGACACATCGGAGCATCAGTGTCTCTGATTCACGGGGAACTGTTCCTGTCAAGCAGCATCTCTGTCACCGCTGCGACCCCTCGCTTGTATATGGCACGTAAACCTGCCTGCCGCGCCGGAGGAGGCGTCTTACTCACAGGCTGAGAGCACACTATCACAGAGACACAGAGGCCCCGGCAGGAATGACGTGATCCAGCCTGTCCATTAAACTCCGGCCGCACTGCATCCCGCCTGACGAGTTTATGAGCCAATCGATATCAAAGATGGGACGGTGGGAGTTGATTCAGTCTCACCAGAGAGTGAAGCAAGTGTTTCTCTTCGTGGGGGGGGGGCAGGAGTCTTTGTGAGGCAAAGTTCAAGTGGAGTTAAGTACATTTAGTCAAGTATCGTATTTACTTTACTTGAGTTTTTCCAATTTGTGCAACTTTCAGAGAGAAAAGTTTTACTCTTCCTGCATTGTATTGGTCGGACCTATCATATGAATTAATGCAGATTAAACAACCAATCTGTGTATAAAGGAGTTCAGTGCCCCTGTCTGAGAACTTCTTCCACCCCTGTTCAAACGTACCCTGCAGTCATATGTGAGTGCTGCATGTTAAAAGGAGGCGTGGGCTAAAAATATCATTTCTCATGATTCATATTCAAGTTTTCTGTCTCTCTACATCAGTGGATTCTGTGAGCCAGAGACTGAGGCACAGACAAAACACTAAGCCGACAAGAATCGACAGTAACTCCATTCAAGTCTTATTCAGGTGACCTTGTGCTGCTTGCAGGCCACAGGGGCCACAGTGGCCCCCGTCAGTCAGTCAATGCAGGAGGAGACTGCAGGCGCCCAGCAGGTGACTGAATGAAGAGGCAGGGATTCCACTGGATTAATCATCACAGTGCGCCTAATAGAGCCATTAGGAGTAATTAACACAGCAGCAGAGTCCCTGCTACCCTGAGCATGTGTGCACCATGTGTGTGTGTGTGTCTGCGCGCGCGTGCACTTGTATACGATAGTGAAATGAAGACTGGGCCGTGACTCTGACATGTGTGAGCTGTTGCTGTTTGAGAATAAAGAGAATAAATATTTGTGCTTCCTGTCCAGCACATGCATTTTTGTTGGCAAGATACAGCGAACATCTGCCTTCATCAGTCCCCCTGTCTTCACTTTCACATGCACGCGCGCGCACACACACACACACACACACACGTACACTCACACGCACGCGTGAAATCAGAGAGCGCTCCGGCTGGTTAGAAAAACAAAGATAAAATACTCCAGGATTCAGGTTTAATGAGGAAACAGAAATCACACTGTGAAATGGGAGTGTTGGCAAAAAACGTGAAAGCAACAAAACGCGATCAGACCCCCGAGTCCACACCATTATTTACACAACGCCCCTTTTCCTCTGGCCTAAGGCTGGGGTTTTATTACCTGATCCTCCCCGAGAGGCAGATTTGAAAAAAAGGTACATTTCCCTGCACTGTAAATAATTCATCTGCACATTAACTAATTCACATGCACTGAGAGGGAAAAAAGCCTTCCCGGGAAGCTGCACACAAAACATGTAAAGGTGTAGCTCATGACAATCACCCAATGCGTCTGTTCGGTCGCAGCCTCCGCCAGACGCGCGGAGGAAAAGCATCCCGAGCCTGGACGCTCACACCCCGGCGGGTGACGCGGTTACAGCCCGCAACAAGACACGGAGCAGAATAAGCAAGCGGCGGTCTGGACCCACCTGTGATATCCTTGTTCACACTGACGAAACCAGAGGCAGTGATCTCTTTAGAAGCCATGTCTGTTCCTCTCTCCTATCGCCACCCCTCCTCCCCCTCCTCCTGCCGCTCTCCTCCACCTCCTCCCCTCTCCCCCTCTCTCTCTCTCTCGCTCTCTCTCTCAGAAATGGACAGGGAGGATGGTCTCTCTCCCAGGCATTCCAGCAGAGCATCCGACTCCCCGACGCGCTTCCTGGAACAAACCCTGTGGATGTTGGGAGGCTGGATGTGCGAGCGACGGGAGGTGGAGGGAGGGAGGGACAGAGAGGTGGAGGGAGGGGTGAGGAGGAAGAGGAGGCGGGGATCACTGAGGGATAATGAGGCAGCTGTAGTTACCTGTGAGGGCTCAACACACACCCCGGTGAAACATTCACTGAAAACACACGGTAGTTTGGCTGTAAAAAGTTGATGTGAAAACTCAAACCAGGTTGTTACTGACTGATCTGAGGTTTTTAAGGTTTTCTCACTTTAGATTTGTCTCGTGACAGAGACTCCGGAGCTCGTGCTCAATAAAACCAGAATAAGACAACACTGCTAAGTCCCCAGCCACAGTGGCTCTGGAGCTACTTATAAACATACAGTATATAGTGAGAATCTCCCACCCCAGCTGATGAGCACTCAGTCGTTATTACTGCATTACTACACAAGTACGCAACAGCTATTACTACATTATTACAAAACTACCCAGTAGATCATTTCTACATTATTACACGAGTACTCATATTAATAATCACACAGATTTTTGTTAGCATATGCTGATCATCCAACAATGTTTCAAAGAAAATTAATTTTGTCTAAAAACAGATTTTCTGCTCAAAATTATTTGTGTGCTTGGATCTGAACATCTGGACAAAATCTCTGGCTCTTCCCTCACTGTGACGCAATAGGTCTGTGACCTTCTTGTCTGGAGGTCAGAGGTCAAGTTATCACAGTTCATCCCGTGGGGAACATGAACGTTTACCAAATTTTATGCCAATCCATCCTTTATTTGTTGAGATGTTTCAGAATGTGCAGCCAGTGTGTCTAGAAACAAACTGACTGGGGTTTGTCATACTCCTCATTTAATTCACCCAAACCTTATTTGATTGTAGCTGATAGGATTACACAACAACAAAATGAAATGCTCCCCAAAGAGAAAATAAGCATCAACGTCGGCAAGTACTGGAGAAAGAAAGAGGATAGAGGAATAGAGAACAACCTGAACAAGTAGAAATACCCAAATAATTTCAGCATTGGCAGGAAGTTTGTGAGGTCACATGTGACCAGTGCTTGTGATAGTGAATTGATTGTTTTGTGATTGAATTCGTCACCTCTCTGACGTTCTGTCTATCACTGGATTTTGCTGTCTAATGGCTCCGCCTGTAAACCACTTAACAGAGGAAGGAAAAGTCTCCACCAAGATGACCATCTCTGTCTGTAATTTGCTGTGATAGTCAGTCGAAACTCCTCCTAAGAGATACTATTATCCTCTGTAGCTTCTAAATAAAACCTGCTCTGGAAAACAACATTGGACCTCTGGCGGAAGTCTCAAAATCATAATAGTCATTTCTCTCTTTTTCTTTTTTTAAATGAAGAACAACAGAGGAGTAGCACATCTAATTTTGGACATTAAAACCTCAACAGAATGAACGTCATCCTCTTCTCCTCAGTGCTGGGTGAGTATAACAGATGAAACCTGACTAACACTCGCAGACAGGCCTCATTTCAGAAGATTATCTACAGATGATAAAACAGTGTCCACGTACTTTTAAGAAGCATCTGCACGAAGCTTTCAGAGCGCTGCTGACTTAGAGCCAGCTGTTTTCTATAATGTGATGCTATCAGTAGTATGGTATGCTACGCTATATATTTTACTGGGCTGTTAGCCTGCAGCTGGGAGATCCAGACAGGGCAAAATCAAAATGATGTTCACCAGCCAGAATCTCAACAGCACGAATGGAAATGATTTGGACAGCGCTTCCAAACCCTAACCCTATTGCATCTCTTAGGAACCGTGAGTTATGTTATGTGTATGACCACAGTAGCACTATGTTACGGCATGTGTGTGAGTGTCAAACCGGAAAATACAGAAAATGTGTGTACATTCCTTGTTTCCATGGGGATAATAACCGTCTAAACAGGCTCGTTAAGGGACAGGAAGCTTCCCTCTCTGTCACACTGTGTGGCAGACACACTCTGATATGACTGTGTGTGTCTCCAAAGCAATGTCTTATTAGCGTGAGGGTCCAGTTTGATGGTGTTAGATGAATTGAATCATTTAATCATCAATTAATCATCAATTGAATAATCCAAACTCAGCAATGGACCATGGCTGATTATCCGGAGCCGGTTTCACAAAGACAGACTTTCACTGTGGCCCAGATAGAACAAACAGTCAGACTTCAGATAGACTGAGTCTAAATTCATCTGGTGCAATAAGCAGTTTAGTTTTTGACTTTGGTCCAATGAATTCTGGGTAAATTAAGGCTTTTTAAAAAAAAACTGAACATACTGCCCAGTTGTGGTAGAACATGAGGAAATGAGTTGTGTTTGAGTGAAAATGATTTCTCTGTGTTTCAGGTGCAGCTGCTTTTGTTCTCCAAGCTGCTGCAGTTGAAGGTACAGGCAGAGACGATGAGCACAGGAAGAGAGAGCGTGCATCTGTCCGACACACACTCACAGTATAATTGACCCAAGCCTGAGAAAGACCATAATGGAGTTTCCCTTTCCTGCAGAGTCTCTGGGGGCCAGTGTGTCTGTGAGGCCTCCGGGGTCGAGCCTCTACCTCGGCGAGTGTGTGCTGCTGCAGTGCTCAGCGGTGTCACGCTGCACTTTTGTGAAGAGCTACCGGTGGTACAGGTCCAAACCACACACTGCTCCGAACCCCAGGCACCTGGTCTCTGGTGACAGCTACTTCATCACCGCGGTAACAAGGGCGGACACGGACAGGTACTGGTGCCAAGCCGAGTGTCGGAAGAACAAGACCGTGTTTGTGGTGAATGCCCGGCCGCTTGAACTCAATGTGTCAGGTGAGCAGCAGCTGCTGCAACCTCTGCAGCGCGGCATCAGGTTTCTGCTACATGCACAGGACAACACATGCAAGTGGAAAGGCTGTGTAGTCCAGGACTGTCTTTAATGCAGAGACACAGTCACTCAAAATTTATAACAACCACTTAAATCATAATGTTAATCTATTCTATCCTGGTTAATACAGTTTTTAAATTGTCAGAAATCTTGTTTTCAATCACGTTTATCAATTTGATGTTTTTTTAGGCTTTTATGACTTTTATGACGTGCTGTGTTCAACAACTGTATGAATATACTGTCTATTCATTATCAGTGGACTTTATTGCTGTTTGTGTGATTGCTTTGATCCCTGTGGTTAATATTATCAGGACATATGTTGTCTAAGTATTGAATCTGAAAAAAGCAATAACACTAAGAGTCCACAGTCGTGCTAGCAGCTCTGTGAGGCTGCGCTAAATGCTAACATGCTCACAGTGACAGTGCCAACATGCTGATGCTAACCAGGTACAATGTTTACCATGCTCACCATTTTAGTTTAGCATGTTAGCTTATTAGCATCATGTGGCAACCTCTGGGGCTGAAAAATGATTCCAACAGAGAAGTGCCAAAACCTTCAGTTCCTCTAACGACCACTAGAGTCTGGCTCCAACAGTGAGTCAATCCCCAAAGACTCCCATGTTAAAATGTCCAACTTAAATGTCCAAACTTAAATAAACATGTTTACAGCCTGGTACAAAAACTGATTTTGTCTCTAGAGCTAATTTCCTCTTTCATGACACCTGTTTCCATTTTATTAAGGCTTAAAGTAATGAATAATTTAGGGCGTGGCCTCTTTGAGTGACAGGTGGGTGAGCGTATGTTTGCCACAAACCGGCATGAACTGAAGTCTCAGCTCCACACATGCCCCTCCTTTTTCCCATTTTTGGAATAGCTGGGAGGTAGGGGCGGAGTCAGGCACTGCCAAGATGGCAATGGTGGAACAGCTCACTCTGAGATTCAAAACTGCTCTTCAGAAATCTGAGGGTGACGTCACAGAGGGAACGTCCATCTTTATATACAGTCTGTGATTAGCATGCATTTATTAATTTGCCCTAAACAAAGTGGGCAGGTGAGATTGAAAATTTGACCTGGTGTTAGATGGAAACTTGAGGGGTTTAAGATTCATCCTGAGGGGAATGTGAATGTATCAAATTTCATTGCAAAAAATGTGGAAGAAAAATTAAGTTGAGTTTCAGGTGAGAAGGGCATTACATGCTTTGAAATGAAATACGCCAACCAGCACTGTACAGTACTGATATCTGAATAAACAGTGTGTAATCTCTGCCTCGGACAGCTCTGCTTTTCCAGTGCTGCTGCTGAGTAAGTGATGTATTTTGTCAAGATAAGTGGATATATCACTTATATGATCCCATGTGACCATTAGACAAACAGAATGGCCTGTTTTTACAGTAATCAGATGCATGGGTAAAACCTGCATCTCACTCTCTCTCCTTTTCTCCCTCTGTCTCTTTGTCAATCTCTCTCATCCAGAGCTGCTGCCTCCCTCGCTGTCTCTGACTCCCAACAGCAGACAGATGCTCAGAGGGGAGCGTTTCACTGTGCAGTGCCCTGCTCTTGAGACTAACTCCTCGGGTTGGAAGCTGATGCATTTCTCTCCAGACCGTGCGGTGGGGACCAGAGTCTTCAATGTCCACTCTTCGCCACCAGGGGGAGGTGTCAGTGGAAACAAGTCTGAAGCGTTTGCCTTCATTGCTTCCAGCAGGAACAGTGGACTGTACTGGTGTGAGAACGCTGAGGGCCGCAGCAATGCAGTCAACATCACAGTAAGCTGTGAGTCTTGTGTAACAGTGATGATGAAGGATAAACTGAGGGAGAAACCAGCAAAGAAAGCGGAACATGGTCCAGACAGACAGGTTTAAGGTGTATGAGTGAGTGTGATAAGAGGGATGAGGAGTTAATCATGTCTATCTTTGTCCCACAGACGGTAACATCGTTTTGAAGACTCCGGCCTTCCCTGTATTTACAGGCGATGAAGTTGTCATGTCTTGTCAGTACCGGACAGCAAACCACAATTCAACAACCTTCTTTAAAAACGAAGCAGAAATTGACACTTACAGTTCTTCCAGTTCAGACAGAGTAATAAAGATGACCATTAAGAATGTGACACAGGAAGATGAAGGCTTCTACAAGTGCGCCTCCCGCGACAGAAAAATGGAGAGTCCAGAGAGCTGGTTATCAGTGAGAACTGACAGAGGTCAGCTGTACGGCTTTATCTCACCTGAAGATCATATCCATCTTTCTGCTCTGTCTAATAGTGGATAAGTCAAAGATGTCAATTATTTTGTCTTTTAGGCAACTTCACAAAAACCAAAGGGACACCAGCCTCCACTAGTGGTAAAATTATTTCTTATTGTTGACACATACATTTATTAATTTTGGAGGTTGTTTAGGTTTTTTACTCGATCTCCTTAATTAATCAGCATTTAATTGAATAGATGTAGGACTTAGTACCTACACAAGGTCTCCTACTGCACTGAAGCTTTAGTGATGTCCCTCACCTGTGAGTCACTTTGGATAAAAGCTTCTGCCAAATGAATGAATAAATAATGAATAAATGAATAAATGTAAATTCATAATTGGCCATTATTGAGGACAACTTTTTAGTTACCAGGTTCTACTCTTCCTCATCTTTACATCAGGAGCTGGAATTCATGGGGAAAATCCCTCCAATGATGCAAAGTATCCTAAATCTAAATCTGACATTTACACTTTCACACAGTGATTTATGGTTGTATTTGAAGGACCTCTGCCACCAAAATATAATCAGTTCATCCTTAAGTCCAAGTGAATGTTTGTGCCAAATTTGAAGAAGTTCAGTCAAGTTGTTACTTCAAAAAGCTACTTCAAAATAAAACAGGACATTAACAAAAATCCCAAAAAAGAGTCTCTTCGGTTCCGATCATGACACATATTATAAGGCGATTACATTAATGAAATGACATCCCTTTCTCATTATCTTATAAGCTATTGACTTCCAATAGTAAGTTGTTCATAAATAGATTTTGGTGTAGAGTCTCTGAAGCTCCTCAACTTGTTCGGCATATGAATCAGATTACTGTAAATCACTTTGAATGGTTTTAGGGTCTGATTGCAGCTGTTAACAAGAAATTAGACTATATGATGTAGTGACGTAGTTTCTGGTTCAACTCTGTTACTGACTGAACTTGACACTTGATGGCACTTTTAAACAAATATTTGTTGTGTTCATCAGGTTCCTGGAAATGGATCATTCTTTCATTTGCTGTTGTCCTTCTGTTCCTCATTCCTCTAATTGTTTGGCTAGTTCGTCACTACAGGTTAGTTACCGTATACATCTTCAGCCTTCTTTACTCACCACTTCCTATTGTTCACATGTCTGTAGACATTAAATATCCTGGCATGAATGACAAGTCAAAGAGAAGGTTCACTGCTTGTATTTGTATTTGTTTGAAGGTACCAGAGGTTTTGCACTCGTAGCTGCTGGCCACTTTCCAAACAGGAAGTACCAGCACAGGCGTTCCCTGCAACCAAGCAGGATGTGACAGAAGTGCAGTGGGACCTGTCCTGGATGGAGATGTCCAATCTGTTGGATAAGTAGCTGTATCCTGCCACTGAAAGGATCTCTCTAATCTGAAGCATATAGACAGAACTGAATAATGTGAAACCCATGAGATAGTTCAGGCAGTGCTGCTTCGAGCACGATATAAGAACAGTTTGTCATTTTTCAAGGGGTGCCACAAGGATCTGTTCTTGGCCCGTCACTTTTTAAATTTATGTTAATGACCTGCTTAAGATTTATAAAGATGTGTCTGTTTGCTGATGGTACAAATCCTGTAGCTTCACACACAGATTGTAGTACACTAATACAAAAGGTTAATACAGAATTGGTGCAAATCTTTATGTATTTCAGTTGAACAAACTTTAATATTAAAATGGCAAGCTTTATAATATTTCCATATTTATACTTTTTTCCCCCACTCTGTTTTACTTGTAAAATTCACATTGAAAATATGTTTCAAAACTTAATGAAAATAGTTGTTACAAAGTTTATTCCCTGATCTACCTTCCTGTTATTTAATTGTGTATTACATTAGAATTTACTCATATAGTAAATATTACAAATTGCTTGGGGTGCCAGGAACTTATCTTGTTGTAACAAGATGATTCAGAAGACGTTGATGAAATAATCAGTTAATGACTTATCCGTCCCACAGTTTATGAAATGTAACTTATTGACTCATCATAATGTTAATATTTATTTTGTTAAGTATTTACTTCCTGGCATTTTCCAGAAATGTTTAATTCTTAGATTCACATCAAATTCTCTGTCCTTCATGTCTGTTCTACCAGGTCTTCAAGGGATTGCAGTTTGCCAATGTCGCACTTCTCAAAATCAATATTTCATTAGATGCAGAGATCCCTCTCTTGGGAACAATTTGAAATAGAATATAAAGTCATCTGCTTCATTATACGGCTTCAAGACTAAAGACTGAAAACAAAACAGTGTAAAATTACCTTTTGTTTTTATTCAGTATTTGTCTCGTTTATTGATTGAGATTCAGCCTTGTATGTTCCTTTTAACTGCTTTTATTAATTTGTTTGTTTTGTCTTGTCTGATGTTTATGATTATACTTGACTAGATTGTTTTATATATATCTTTTAGAGACAAAAACAACTACAAAGAGACACAAAACAACAATAAAGAGATGCAAAACAACTACAAAGAGACACAAACAACTACAAAGATGAGAGACACAGCACAATTAACACACAGGCAAAACAAGTAAAAAGAGACACAAAATTATTACGAACAGAAAAAACAAGTACAACGACACAAAACAACCACAAAGACTCTGTGCATATTCTGCATGCACATAACTATCTCAGTTTCACTCAGTTGGAGTGAAAGACAGGTTTATAGTTCACAATCCACTGGATGCTCATTTAGGCTCTGGATTTAAATTATGCCATTTTTATAGAGACCCAAAACCATTATGTATCTGTCAGGATAATTATGATAGCATGACGAACTGCATGAGTCATCTTGGAATATACAATTGTTTTGTAATCTAAATGAAGCACATTACTGTAAAATAAATACATACCACATGCAGTATATCTTTGGTTTTGATTCCATTTTCTTTACAGTTCTTCTACTTTTTATTGCCTTGGAGGCTGAAAAAGAACCCGATTAGAGTGGATTCTCATCACTTTCTTTTCATAATGTTGAGCGAAAAATCTGGGATAAAAACAAATGTGCTCATTTCTGATAATGTTCAAAATGTTGGCTGTGCCAGCGAGCACATTTCTTTATCTGTGAGGGCTTCACTTGAGGGACTCTTATAATGAGTAGTATAAGTACAAGTATGGGCAACAAAGTACTAACACAAGATCATCCAATGCCATCTAAATTATGCATCACTCTGCCAAAATCCTGTAAAAAAATGTCTTGCGGGTTTAAGAAGAATATTTGGTGTCGGTTGCCGAAAGAGAGGTGACAGGGCTGTGGGCAGGGCAGATATTAAAATTAATACAGGAGTCTTCCAGCAGAGCAGGAAGGAAAATCTGCTGCTCTCTGCAAAAACATCACTGAAGAGACCCAGTCAAAGCTCAGTCGTATAAAAAATGCACTTTCTTAAGGAGTGGCCTGTAATGTTGACAAAGGAGTTTGTTCTACTGCTGTACTTGTTATCAGCTCAGGGATTTGTTCAATAACACAACTGTGACTTTTTCTTACTAATTTTCATACACTGTCCAAAATATTGTGCTTACACAGATCATACAACAAAGGTTTTTGAAACAGATCATCAGACGTTTGTTATTCATTGTTACTGATATGCTCTTGTCCGCAGCACAGATCTGCACAGAGTTCATGTTCAGACAGCTCCTAAAAACCAGTTTGGCTGCATTGTTAGAACATCTTAGCTTTCAAAGCTTTGTGTTGTTGTTTAAGTGCAGCGTCACTGCTGTGTTCATTTTCAGGAGATTTTCCTTACTTAAGACGGCATTCGTCGACTCTAACCTCTGCAGAGCACTTGAGGATATTGAATTGGTAATAAATTCACTTTGAAAAGAGGAGAGTGGGGAAAATGGAAAACAATCCAGGTAAGTTAATCATGCAATACTATTAAGTTTAAGTATTCTATCGGCAAGGTTGATATACCAACATACATGTAGCATTAGCTAATAGCTAACTACTACACTAATGTTCAGTGCAACATTACACTAATCAAACCTGTAAATCAACATTAGTTAGACTACATGTAACCTGCAGATCAACCAGATCCTTGTATGCCAGGAAGAACTTTGAATACATTTCATTCTCCTCATGTTATCAAAATCACCTCCCTTTACACACAGTTAAGTTCTTAATACTGTTTTTAATTGTTGTTTTTAGGCTGTTGTTTGAGGCATACTATAGGTAGTTTCTAATAACTCATCCTCAGTTCTGAGATTTGTATTATTATCTGACAATATGTGATGATATATTTTGTTTTGGTCTTTCTAATCATGTTTCATGGTTCTGAATTTGTCTCACATTATTGTTGTTCATCAGACTAATTTTCTCAATGAAAGTAATAAAAAAATCCAAAAATAATTAACAAAAATAACTAACAAAATCCCAGGGGATAAAGCCAGCACAAGTTTACCAGAGTCCAGAGTCCAATCCGATACTTATATATGTACCAAAATGTTGATTAAATATGTATCTGACATATTGAAATTACTGCTGTAGCTACAAAATCAAGCACACCTCCTTTTTCACAAGTGATTCGATCTAAATACTACAGGCCCTGATTCAAAACTATCAAGATTATAAGCTTGAATTATTAATTAATTATTACCAACAAGTAAAGACACCAACATCAGATAGTTGAGAAAATTCACTTCACATGTTTTCCTTTGCTCTTCAGGGGAGAAAGAGAGCATCACCCTGCCAGAGGTCAGACTCATCCTGATTGGTGGGAGATGGGCTGGCAAGAGTTCGTCTGCCAACACTATACTGAGAAGGGAAAGGTTTGAGTGTGGCCGAACCAGAACAGCCCAGTCTGAGGTTAGACATGAAATAGTGGAGGGCAGGAAGCTCATTGTGGTGGACGCTCCAGGATGGAACAGCTCTCTCTCCCTCAAACACATCCCAGAATGGAACAAGCAACGGTTTAAACTGAACCTGTCCAGGTGTCCGCCCGGACCACAGGTTTTTCTCCTTGCAATCCCGATAGATTCAGCTTTCTCTGTGGCGCAGAAGAGGATCGTGGAGGAGCACATGAAGCTCCTGGGGGAGCAGGTGTGGAGATACACCATGGTGCTGTTCACCTGTGGGGATTACCTTGGAGGGAAGACGATAGAGCAGCACATAGAGAGCGAGGGAGATGCACTCAAGTGGTTAATAGAAAGGTGCAAGAACAGGTACCACGTGATTAATAACAAGGAAAAAAGCAACTCATCTCAGGTCACACTGCTGCTGCAGAAGATAGATGAAATTGTCAGTGACAACAATGGCTCCTACTATGAGGTAGATGAACAGACTTTGACCATCATTGAAAAGAAGCAACGAGAGGTAGCTGAAAGGGCGGAAAGGAGACGGAGGAGGGCCGAGGAACAAAGACAACAAATGACAACACTCATTCCAGGTGTGTGTGTATATATATATATTGCTCAAAAAAATAAGCGAACACTTCAATCACAAATCAGATCTTGATGAACGAATTATTCAAGTTGAAAATCTTTGCTGATTTACATTGTATAACTTGTTGAGAACAAAATGACGATGGTCGATGGAAACCAAAATCATCAACCCATTAAGGACTGGATTCACAATCACACCGAAAATCAACTTGAGTGAATTTCATCACAGCAACTCATAACGTGGCTCAGTAGTGTGTATAGCCTCCACGTGCCTGAATGCACTGGATGGACAGTGGCGGTACCTGGTGGGGTTGGATGCACCGATGCATAACGTCCCATTAGGGTTGCACGGTATACCGGTACCAGTATAGTACCGCAATACTAGAGTTTTGAAAACGGTACTATGCCAGCATTTAAAAACAAACAGTGCTTTTATTTTATTTTATTGAATGCAAAGGAATTGGTAAATTGGAGCCTGTCTCTGTAAGCACAGCGAGGCCAGCGAGTGTGACGTAGTTGCCCGAGCGGATGTAAGCCGCCTCCCATGCACACTCGCATGTTTAGACTGAGGAGGAGAGAGAAACGACAAGTCGCGTCTTAGACAGACAGACCGGGCTGAAGAAAATACAGTAGATAGAGATGGCAGCTGCAGAAAAGCCCGTACTTGTGGACAAAATGGGGGCCCGAAGTATGGTGTGGAAATATTTCGGGTTCAAACCAAACGATAAAGGCGAGCCACTGAACCCAGAAGCACCGCAGTGCAAGCGGTGCTACAAAGCCAATTATTTATTTTAATTATTGGTGTTATTGTTCCCAAAGTCTGTTTTAAAATAAAGGAAAATATTGACATTTGAGAGTGTTTCACCTTTTTACAAAAAGTATCGAAAAGTATCGAAATACATATTGGTATCGGTATCGAAACAGAAATTTGGTATCGTGACAACCCTACGTCCCATAGGTTCTCAGTTGGATTTAGGTCAGGGGAATGTGAGGGCCAGTTAAGGCATCAATGCCTTCGTCATCCAGGAACTGCCTATATACTCTGGCCACATGAGGCCAGGCGTTGTCTTGCACCAGGAAGAACCAAGGACCCACTGACATTTTGGTCAGAAACATTCACACCAGCAGCCTGCTGGAGGTCATGTTGTAGGTCTCTGGCAGGGCTCCTCCTGTTCCCCCTTGCACAAAGGAGCAGGTACCAGTTCTGCTGGTGGGTTGATGCCCTTCTACGGCCCTGTCTAGCTCTCCTCGTGTAGCAGCCGGTCTCCTGGTGTCTCCTCCATGCTCTTGAGACTGTGCTGGGACACACAGCAAACCTTCTTGCAACTGCACATATAGATGTGCCATCCTGGAGGAGCTGGACTACCTGTGCAACCTGACTGGGCTGCAGGTACCGCCTCATGCTACCAGTAGTGACACGGACACTAGTAAAACACAAAACTAGAGAAGAATCAGTCAGTCAGTCAACTTTTGCCTCTCCATGCCTGTTGTCACTTTCATTTGCACCAAAGCAGGTGAAATTCATTCATAATCACTTGTGCTTCCTAAATGGACAGATTGATATCCCTGAAGTTTAACTGACTTGGTGTTATACTGTGATGATTATATGTCCCTTTAATTTTTTTGTGCAGTGTAGTAGTATAGTGTATTCAATGGCATGTATGACCTGTCCAACCTGCTGTAAGTTCCAGGACTAATCAAGCTTTGTTATGTTTGATAACAGAGGAGATGAAACCTTCAACACTCAAGATGATTCTCTTGGGAAGCCGCAACGTTGGGAAAACCTCGGTGGTGAACACCATCTTGGGAATCAAAGAGCAAGACGGGAAAAGAACTGCACACTCAGTGATCCGGCAGGGTTCTGTTGGTAAAACTGAAATAACTCTTGTGGACACACCGGGTTGGTGGAAAGGTTTCCCTGCCTTTGACACTCCTGAGGCAATCAAAGAGGAACTGGTGCGCAGCATGTTTCTCTGCCCCCCTGGGCCCCACGTCTTCCTGGTGGTGATAGATGCAGATGCATCCTTCAATGCCAAACACTTAGACGCCTTGAGAACACACGTGGAGCTTCTCGGGGAAGGAGTGTGGAGACACTCTATAGTAGTTTTCACCAGAGGAGACTGGCTGGGATCAAGCTCCATAGAGGAGTACATCGAAGGGGAGGGAGAGGCCTTACAGTCTCTGGTTGAACAATGTGGAAACAGATATCACGTCATCGATAACAAGAATACTGACAGTGGTACTCAAATCACAGAGCTGCTGGAGAAAATCACTGCGACTGTCGCGGGAAATAGTTGGGGCCATTTTGTCCCTGATGAGCAGAAATTTAAGACTATTGAAGACAGAAGAAGAAGAGTGGAGGAAAGAGCAAGACTCAGGGAAAGTCAAGTCATGGCCAAAAGAAAAACCCTCAGAGGTACAGTATGGTTCAGAGTCATCTAGCCTTAGTGTCATAAATACATTATCTTTCAAACCTTGCTTGGTACATGGGAAGTGCTTTCTGCCATGACGAATCATGGAAGCTTCACTACCACCATATCTGTCACCAGACACACCAGTCGCCTTAATTGCACAGACAGGCCCACCTTTACAAAGGTTTGTGGCCCCAAGCTCAACATTCTCACTTTCTTCCCCAGGCTGTGGTTGTTGCAATGCACAATTACTTGTTTGATACTGCATTAAGTTAGCTGACAAGCTAACACATCAGGGAAAGATTGTTGTGCTTTGTGGCTAATGTTATGGCTAACTGAGTTTTGTTAGCCTCCATGGCTACCACCATATCCTCTGGTGGCAGCAAAGCTAAGGATGTCACTTTCCAACCTTGGCCAGCCAGCTGTGGGTTTACCATGGCAGGAAAGGACCCCGACCCCTTTGCACTGTATGCATGAGTGTTTAGCATGCCAAATAGTTCTATGTCATTGAAGCTCTGCTTGGAGAATGACAACAACAGAAAAGATACCATTCTCCCTCCTACACAGCCGTCACAGCCCAATAGTTCCATCTGTGGGAGGCTCAACCTTCCTCGCAAGCCTGGTTGGCCATTGACAAGCCTGCCCCACAAGATGACAAAACAGAAGTGGGAGATTTATATTATGGGAAAAGGTCCCCTCTGATGAACTTCTGCCTGCTGTCCTGGCATGCATGAAGGAGATTGAATATTATTGAAATAAATTCTAGGCCAACAAGTTCCCGTCAAAGGACACTCTGGTTTGGAAATTGCTAATGGTAGGACTTGATGAACAGTCTCAATCGCTCATCCACCCTCAACTCAGTTCGGCCCACCCTCCCACATAAAATGGAGCTGTTCACTCCCTCATGTAAAAAGTTTATAGCTCAGAGGTCCAATCCATAAGAAAACCTGGACGGGATTACCCTGCTCTTAGTTGACCAAACCAAACGTCTGAAGAAAGTGTGCCACCTGCTCCATCTCTCTCTTTTGACCTCTGCCTTAAGAGTGTGGGAGGAGCAGTTCTTCCACCATTCTCCTGTACTGTAAAAGACTCAGCGCCATAATTTGCACCTCCTGTCAATCCCTGAGTCCAAATCAATGTGCATGGTGTAAGTCAACATATTCGAGCTCAAAGGTCAATTAAGTTGAACTTTGGCCTACAACCTGGTGGAATATCAGGGCAGAGCATAATGCTATAGCTTGCACGGAAAAAGTGCAAATGCGCTCTCTATTGTAAATAGTGGTCTAATTAATGTGATGTGTGATGGCAAACTTGTTTGTAGAGTATCTCTTGGGCATGTGAAAGAACTCTGCCTAAGAGCGATGTTTTTGGGGCTGGGGTCAAGTTCTGAGGTCTGGACGTGGTGGTGATGGTGGAGCTTCTGTCATTTGTCAAGCAATATTACAAAAACCGGTATAATTTAAAATCGAAAAATTATTTAACATGGATAACAATAGCATGTTACATTTTTTTTCTCGATGCACCAACCTTGTTTATTATATATAAATGTCTTGTTTTAACAAGTCGTAATGTAGCAACAAAAAGGAGAATGTATACAGTATCATTATAATTACAAAACATGTTGGTATGATAAGAAAAGGATCTTGTTATATTGAATGAATTTTCCCATTATAATGGGAAATTGAGCACATTTTTTTTGTCATGGTGGCAGCAATATGCTCCTGTAATTTTCTTCTCAGGTCCCAGACACCAGTTACAGGAGCTGAGGATAGTGATGATTGGTCAGAAGACGTCTGGAAAGACTGCAACAGGAAATACCCTCCTGCATAAAGAAGTGTTTCCCACCTGTCAGACTGAAAACTGTCAAGTGGATCAAGGGGAAGTTGCTGGCAGGAGGATCACAGTGATCGACACCCCGGGCTGGTGGGGTGAGTCCTCCCGCTGCACTGAAGACACTGACAAAGAAATTGCCAGAGGTCTTTCACTGAGCCCATTAGGGTTTCATGCTGTTCTGCTGGTCATTCCCTTGGACCTGGCCTTCAGCAAGGTTCAGAAGATCGCTCTGGAGGAACACATGAACCTTTTAGATGCCAGTGTCTGGAAACACACAATGGTCCTGTTCACATGTGGAGACAAGCTGGCAGATAAATCTGTAGAGGAGCACATTGAGAGGGAGCCTGGTGCTCTATACTGGTTGGTAGACAAGTGTGAGAACAAGTACCATGTCATGAACAATATGAAGAAAGCTAATATGAGTCAGGTCACCGAGCTGTTTGAGAAGATAGAGGAAATGGTGGCAGGGAACAATGGCCGACTCTTCTGCCCCAACATGAGGGACGTCCACCTGAGAATTGACGATAAGTTCAAGAGGAGGCAGGTCAAACACGTGCTGAGGCAACGACTGGAGAAGGAGTACAGGAGGAGAGAGCTGGAGCTGATGCTGGGCTTCAAGGAAAAACTGCTTGAGCTGCAAGCTGAGATCAGGGGAAGTGAGACCAGCACTAAACCCAAGTCACTGAGTGAGTATCACACTTTGATGAGGAGGACTTGTTTCTTCCATGATAATATATATAATTGTTTTAATCTTCTGTTTTGATTATCTTTGCTAGTTGGTGACACAAACAAATTTAAAATCTGGGGTATTGGTCAAAAGAAGAAGGATGGAAAGGAGAAGGAGGAAATCATAGATGCGAAAATCAGCCAGGAAATTGAAAACCTGGATAAAAGCATACTGAGATCCACAGTTGATCTTCAGAGCAGCATGGAATTGTTGTTTCCTGACTGTAAGTAAAAATTGTAATATTATCTCCAGCATTCACATTAAATCTGAGCACAACCATATCAAATTGTGTTTCTGTTTAATTCCCAGTGAGAGGAGAAAGTCCAGCACCGTCTGTTGCTGAGTCTTTACCAGGCAAGAGGAACTCCAACAGCAACTTTGACAAAGTCCTGGGTTGGCTGTCGACACTCCAGATCAGCACAAATCTAGAGAACAACCTGACCTTCAACTCCTCTCAGACCTCAGGGTACGGATCCGTGCTACCACATGACGACTTGGACTTCAACACAGAAGCTGATATTCTTCAATGAATAGTCTCAACAGACTGACATATAAGAAAATGCATTTTACGAGTGGGGAATTTGCACTCAGGGAATTTTTAGTGGTGTGAAAAAGTTGAAGGGTATGCTTTCAATATTATGGAAGAATCGATATTATGAAATCATTATATAATACAGTACTCTGGGGCAGTGATGGACTAAAGGTCAGAAACCTACGCCCCACTATAGCTGCTCAGTGGCCACAAGATCAGACTGTGACTGTACTGGGCAGCTTCAGGTGTGAATGTGTGTAATTGTAAGAGAGTGAAGTAGAGTGTCCCGGTAAAATAGCATTTGTACTCAGCCGACCTGAGCTGATACAGGTTTAAGTTTTTGTTATATATCAATGTAAAACACTATAAGATATACTGCACTTGTAGTATGCTATAAGTGAATTCAATGCAACCTTATAAGCTTATATTGAAGAAGTGTTCTTACTTTGCCGGACAATATATAAGCTACACCATACAATGTAAATGTGATATTAAATATTCCAGTGATTAAACTAGATTTTGCTTATTGTTTTTCTTTAGGGCTTTATTATTCTATACTGTTTGAAATACTCTCTTCCCATTTTCATAAGGGTTTCAATAAAGCTGAGGGGAATTTAACTCCCAACACTTCTGGCACTTTATGACAGTTGAGTAAATAAGCCCCCACCTAATATATATATATATATATATATTTTTTTTTTTTGCAAATATGATTTTTATTGTTTCCTTCACAGACAATAGTGCGATGTGTCTTCCTACAAATGAGTATTCACAAGGAACAGCATGTACAGATAAAATACAATTAAATCAAAAATGAAAAATGATTAAAGATAAAAATTAAAAGTAAAAAAATTAAAAATACAACAAAGTCTATTATGATAATAATATATATGTACATATACACAAATACCTATATGTGTATATACCTCTATACACCTGTAAGCATACATACACATCTATATCTAAGTGAATATTGATCTGAAAGGAAACTTTTTCCTCCCATCCAATAATCTTATCTCTGTCCCACCAGTCAAACATGCTGCAGGCTTGGTAATGTTTCCCTGATCTGTGATAAAAATGGGTCCCAGATCTCTGTATTAGTGTCCATTTTCCCATTCATGTCTCTCATAAGAGGCATTAGGCATCAGGTAGGGTTGCCCCACCCACAGCAACACCTTAACAGTTTAATTTAGCCTTGGCCTCTGCAAAGGGCTCCAGTGCAGTAATAGGCAAGAGAAGAGAGAGTGGGTTGCCCTGCTTTGTCCCACATCCTGCAGGGAAAGGAGATGGCCTCAGACCTTTAGTTACTACCATAGATTTAGGATGACTGAATATAAGCTTCGTAATATTTTGAAACATGGGTCCAAATCTAAATCCTGTGAGTGAAAATTAGATTCTCCAGCTGATGGAACCAAACGTTTTTCTGCATCTAAAGACAAAGCAGCTATTATGGTCTCCATGTCTTTGGTATTCCAGATTAAATGCAAGAAGTGTCTTATGCTGTCAGAGGAGGTCCTGCCCTTCATAAACCCCACCTGCCCTGTATGTATAATTGTCTTCATTAAATAATTTACTCTCAACGCGAAAACCTTTGTAAACAACTTTAGAGTCTTTACCATTTTTAATATAAGGATGATTATTGATTGTCAGGTTCGGAGTTGCCCTGTGTCAATAGCAACGTCGAATTTCTTTAAAATCTCAAGGCTCATATTCTCTTCTGAGAGTTTAGGGAGATTTAGGTGTTCAAAATTCTCTTGCTCTGTCTACGTCCATCTGACCCTCTGATCTGTAGAGTCCCTCATAAAAACTTAAACACATTTACTTTCTTTATGATTGGTCAAAAGATGTCTCTTCGGAAATCTTGGTCGCAAGTCTTCATCAATAGTCCCACATCTTTACATAAAGCCCTTATACAGTCCTGAGTCCTGGATGTTCTAACAATGCCAGACCTGGATCTGTCCAAGAACACATCAAGCACTTGGTTATAGTCAAAAGTCCAAAATTATTTTCTTAAGTTGCAGAAAGAAGTCATGATCCCCCATATTCGATGCATATAGGTTGTCTAAAACTAACCAACCAACCATCTAAATTAACCAAGAGAATTATTGCCCATCTTTGTGTCTAAATTCTCTCTCTACCTTAATATTAACCTTCTTTGAAAATACTGCAGATACTTTTTGTGGTTAAAAGTGGTAGGCCCAGCCAGCTTAACACGTTTAACCTTTTCACATATGAACCCAAGCCATTTACATTTCAAGATGAAATCACAAGTACAGTAATACATATGACTACCGACCTGAATATGATCACCAGGCATGTGATTCCACAAAAGGTCAATTTTAACCATACAGCTCTTACACAGTGCAGAACAGAACAAGAATAAGACGGTGATGTCCCTACACTGAAGGCATGCATGTAAGAGCACTGGGTTACAAATGTTGTTTCCACCACGTTCGTCAAGTGTGAATGAGATTCACCCTTTGCAATATTTCACTGTTATTTAAAGGATGTATTGTCAAGAGAGTAATACACGCCTACACAGAGGGCGCACAACACCCATAAACTCTGCCTGCTATGAATAAGCAGAGTGCAGAGTGCACTGCAGTGTTTCCGATTCATCACCTAGACTAAATTTTTCCCACCACAGTTTCATAATGAATCGAAAATGTATTCACTCTTTTCATAATAAAACATAAAAAATGTTGATTTGTGCCTTTACTTCTTTGTAGAACTGTACACAGAGCAATGATTCACTCAGCCCCTCTTTGCCCCTGAGGGCACACAGGCAGGCCTGTGTAAGTAAAGAAAACCAGTTAGACTACTCTAACCAAATGTGTGATACTGCCTTACAGACAGTTGAGTGCAGTTCACTTTGTTGTCTCGTTGCGTACAACGAAGGTTGGTTGAACTGGCACTAAAATATTCCTAAATACCCGTTTTCTTCCAATATTTTTTACCTGGACACAGGTGACCTCTGCAGAGCACTCGGGGATGTTCAGTTGGTGGTAACTGAAAAGAGAAGACCAGAGAAAATGGAAAACAATCTTGGTGAGTTAATCAAGAAGAACTGCAGTGTAACATACTTAGAGATACAATAACCTAAAGCTTGAGTATTTTACTGGTAACAAGGATTCTGTATGTTGTATGAATTATTTTTTTTCAGATCTTTATTCTTTTGTTCAGATTACAGGATGTAATGTTCAGTGCAATCTGCAATCTGTTCTGGGATAAAATCAGCTTGTTCCAGCGACAGTGAACAATGTGTAAAAACTTCACTACTACTATTAGTGATGGGTCGGTCGCGAACGAGAGCGATTTTTTTTTATTATTTTTTTTTTATTTATTTATGTATATTTTAAGTTATGTTAAGTTTATTAATAAAGCCATATATATACTATACATATGTTATATTTTATGTTTTTTTACATTAGTTATTCATTTTACACATAATTTGGTAATAAATTAATTTAAGTAACAAAAAATCTGAGGAGCCACTTGGGAGCAGCC